ATGTTGGTGTGCATGCTGTTGGGCCCTGAACGGTGCTGATTTTACACTGTTTTCAATGGGGCTTGAATGAGTGGACTGGACCCTACAGAAATCAACAACTGATCCCGAAAGTGTGGGCAGAAATATTTCAACTGTGTGCACAAGTCTGTTGAGTTGGATACAAGATGGTGACTGGAAATACTGTTAAGTGTTTACAGCGCAGTCCCTTTTGTGTTTTGGTTCAATATTTGTCAAAATTAAGGTAGATCCTTCTTTAACCCTAACAGTCCTTGGTCCTCCAACAGGTGAAGGATTGAGGACTGTTAGGGTTAAATAATTAAATAATGTATGTGATTTAAATTTTTAGACTTTATTTTTGAAATGCTTTGGAAACACAGTTCTCAGTGCTCTATCAGATAAAACTTGAGAAAATATGTTAAATTTGCTTTTCAAAATATTCACTAAACAGAGATGTCAGGAATTTATCTGAATTTCACATACTGTGCACCTAGGCTTCTACTAATGGCTTGTAATAACGGGCAATATTATGAGGAAAAATTGAACTGTGCCAGGTTAGGGCCAAATAATGTTTGATGGACAATTGCGACAGTTGCCCCCAATTCATCTTCTTTGATGTAGAGCAGTGCTGCACAGCAAATCATGAAACCCCAGAAGGCAGAACAGCCTTTTGCTCATGGTTATTGAAAATGGAGACTTCCCTTAAATTATGCCCCTGCTGTTGTCGGTCCAAAGGTATTTTATGTCTATGATTGGACGCTTCATTTCATGAGTTTTACTATTAAAATTATGAAACCTAGATTGCTCCTTGAACATGTTGAACATGTCTCAGGAGATATGGACCATTGATCGATGGTAATTTGTCATGGAACAGTCACGAACCATGAAGGAAAAGGAACTTTAGGTCAGGAAAATGTGAGGAATTCCAGTATAGTGGGTGCATTCAACTAGCTTGCCCTGGTTACAAGGGTTTAACCTCATGCCTATCGTCTTTCATGGTTGACACAATGCGCACAACCATCCCTAGGTCAGGCTTGCCCTAAAAGCTAGCCACAAGAACCCAAGGGTGGATCCAGGACCCATTTTTTTCGGGAGGGGGGGACAAACTTGATTCTGGGGGACCAATTTTTTTTTTTTAATTTTTGAACGTTCCTTGAGGGGTTAGGCTACATTTCCACTTTTCAAAAGAAGGGAAATTAAATAGACCAAAAAGATCCTTTCATTTTTCAAGTGAAAACAATTTTTGCTCCTTTTTTGGTCATGACCCCAATTCCCCCCCCCCTTCCCGGATTCATTCCTCTTCTTACCTGTGTTACTTATGATGTAACCTGCCTCTTCACTTTGGAGATATCATCGGTCAGTCCACTCACACCATGACGCTAGCCAGCCTCAACGTTCATGTAGGCAGCCATGGCAGTACATTCACCTGGCAATGAGGCCTTCCCAAATCTAAACACAGGGAAAAATTACCAAAAATAAGAAGAAAAGGTCACACTGTAATGATAATTTTTTACCCAAATGAGCAAAACATCCATGTTTCAATCTATCACCACATAGACTGTTATTGTGGGTCACTGTTAAATCCATAAAACCATACAGTGCGGGGAAGTTCTGTCAGCCTAAGCCGGCTGATTCGGAAAAGGTCCATCTTCAGCCAGTTGACACATGTACAAACAACAGGAGGTACCCAGACTGCTTTCTCAACTTAACAAACTGTGTAAACTCTGGTGTGTGAGTGGCAGAAGAACCTCTGAATTTTACCCTAAAGAGCTGGGGGAGGGAATAGGGAATCTACCTTCCTTTAACATATTTTTCAATATTATCAAGGTGCATATTTTCTAGAAGCCTTCTGGAGTTTTTTGGAATAACTCTTTTTAGTCATTCTGACACCATTTTTGTGAAAATCCAACATACCGTTCTCGCACAGCACATTTTTTTCTGAGAGAGGTCAACCAAGACGGATACTTTTCTGCTGCCATTCCAAACTTCTAAGTGACTGTCAAACCATGACAGATTGAGATAAAACTTCAATATTTATACATGTACCGAGAAAGAAAGTCATGCATACAAAGTTTGTAAAAAATTCCAGCATTGGACAGCCCAATTCTTGGGGGATTGCCGCAGGCTGTGAGGGGGTCCGACGTAACCAAGCTCTTTTAGGGTTAACTACTTGCTGCTGGGTGGATTTTTCTTGAGCAAGACAAGATGCCGGCTCATTTTCAAGATTTTCCATTTTCAAAGTTCTTCAAAATTTCATTATTTCATTTAATGGCCATTTATACCAAAATGAAGGACTCTTTGGGCACTATTCTAAAGCTGAAAGGTAAAATTCATTGACTCCTGAATATTTCAGCCAGGCCTGCAGCCTTGGAAAAAGAGCCCAGATTGTGCGGTGTTATATAAGATTCTTTTGTTCCCGAAACCGGCACAGTGCACTGCTGACCTCTTTTCAATAGGGGCCAGATTAGCGTGCAGCGGTGCTGTGTGCTCATCGCTGCGGTGGTGGAGCACTTTTGTCCCCCGGTGGTAATCCGCTCGTTCTCAATGCCTCAAACCGTGGTATACTGTTTCAAAACAAGGCTGGATTTTCTCCACTATTGAGAGCGAAAAAAAAGTAGGTAATGGCCAGCAGCTCAGTCTATTGTGCTGAGCACGGTCTTTCGTTATGAGGCCCAACTCTTTTGTCCCAGTTCTGGGCTCCCCGGCTCTGCATATAAAGCCTATATACTCGAAAACGCGTCGCCCGGCAGGAAGTGGTTAAGACGTTAGGAAGTACCAGGACCAAATCTACCTGCAAAAATCGATTTCTTCACAGATGGCAAACATGACCGATAAGTGACAGCTTTTCTACCTGCTGTTTTCTCCATCCACTGTTCTTGGTCCTCGTCACTGTCAGAGTGGCTGTCACTTGGGTCCTCACTGGAATTGAGTCTCCTGAGCCCGCTTCTTGAGAAGAACAAATAGGAGAAAAAATACGGATGTCATCACCGACTCTAGGTGTTAACTTCAGCAGTGAAAACAGAGTGGTGACTTCATCATAAACAAATGAAAAAATGAACAAAAAATGTAAGCAGTATCTTTCCTTTGTGGAAAGCTGCATTGAATTGTTGAATTTGGCAGACAAAGAAGTCACAGTACAAAGGTTTTGTATAGAATTGTTCATTTTGTTTCTGATATCTAGGGCCTTTTTACACACAGTCTTTGGACAAAGTACATGTACTTACCTTCACTGTCTGTGCTACAGCTAACATCAGAGCCATCTTCATCATTTTCTGTGAGGCCAAACTTGTAAGAGCTTCAAAGAGGCTGGGCTGGGCTCTACCTTCCTCAATCTTCCACAAATCTCCTGGTGGATTTTTTAGGATCTGGGAAGGTTGGCAATAAGACACATGTAACAGTACGGGGGAAAATGAGTAAACTCGTAGGAATAAAGTTCACTTTCTCAGTCCAGCTTGTCATTGAATAGCCTAGTGCAGGTAAGGAACTTACCCAGGTTCTGTGCTCTTCACTGATGCTGCCCACTCATTCCTTGCTCCATCATCTTCTCTTAATGACTTCCTCCTACAATAAAAACAGGAAACAAAAACAATGCATTTCTTCAGCTTTTACTGTTGTCATAGCAACATCCGTCATTTATTGTTGAAGCCCCCTAACTGCGCGCCCCCAAACTTTAGCGCAGTTTCATTTTTTGCCTCCAGTGCCTTGCTGGAGCAACATTTTTACCTCAAATTTCAAAGTAGGTGAAATTTCATCAAACTCCCACTAATGTAATTCAAAACTCCTTATTTTACTCACCCACTACAACTTGCCAATGACATTTTTATTTTGGCTCAATTTTCCAATTTTTTTTCCCTCAGTGCCAAATGGACACTTCTAAACCTGCCCAAAAATTAAAAATAATTTTTTAACAAACTTTTGTTTAAGTGTATGTAAATGTAGGTAATAATAGAAATCATCAAGTTTACAGAACTTCTCAAATGTTTAAATGGGGTTTCTGGTGATTTTTTCAAGTGCGCCACATGAGGGAACACAGTCAAGATGCAATGGCATGATTACTTAATATCCTCGATGTTAGTCGAGATATAGGCCTACAAGTACGGAAAGAAATCCATTACTGATGCCACTAATATTTCCCTACAGTGACCTAACATTATTAGGTACTACCAGCCATCTCAAAGCAATAAAAAAGTGTCCTAAAAGGTCAAAATTTTGCAGTGTAAATGTTGCTGGTATTCACTGAGAAAACACTTGAACACTTCAGACCAGTGTCATGAGGTTTCTTCCTCCATGGTACTTTTGTGCACACGGTGTCAAGCAGCATCCATGTTACATCTACATTTATTTTATTCATTTATTTATCTGATCATCCACCAGCACATTTAGTGCCAATCACAGGGTGTGAGCGAAGAAGACAATGAAGAGATGTTCAGTTTTAGAGGTGGGAAGAAAAGCCCGGATAAGTGTACATCATCATACATTATGGAATTCTTTCTGAAATGTACATGTAGGTCTATCCGCCTTGAGCAGAAGCACCCCCTCATTGGTCAAAAAGAGCCATGTCATGCATGTTGGTGGGGAGAGTTCATTTTGCTGGCAGCAACACAACCCTGATGCATGTACTTCATAGTCTCCTGTGGTGCAGTTCCCACCAAAGGAGCCTCCGTTGCTAGGAAAATTGTGCCCTCTCATGGTCCCACCCAGGTCTCATGTACACTGTGCATAACCCTAACTGAAGAGACTGGAAGTGCCGTCCAATCTGGGCTAGGTGACAGGCCCAGGCTGAGGATAAGAACATGATTGATGGAGAAGTGATATTCTCCATGTTTAGGAGGTTTACCCCAAGAACTATGCAGTATGCCTATAGGATGTTGTTAAGTCACTAATCTGTGTGACTTGCGGCCATGCTTATATGGGGTTGCAATGCTATCTGTTTTTTTATCCAGCCTTTGAGGTATAATGAAAAGTGACGCATATTCAACTTTTTCAATCAAATTTTCAAGTGAGAGCAACCTTAAGGTACCCACATGTATAGCTCTTGAAAAATGTGTAATTAATGCTGGTTTTTAGACTTTAATACCAATCTTATTTTGCAAAATTGGAGGGTTTATTCACATATCTCCCGTTTTCTTCCCAACAATCACATTGTACTGAACAATCTGTGTGCATCACACCTCAGTGCACATGCGCAGGCCAATGGCCAATTTAGCAAGGTCAGTTTGTCCATATATGGAGGAGAGGGTAGAATCTTGTTATTATCGCATGAGTGACCTCTGAGCTGTGTGACTGGAGTTATACCATCAGGCAAGGTGCTGTGCCAGCTGTGACCGGTTATGGTTAAACAATGCCACCTTCAAAAATAGTCCAAATGACATGCGGAACTAGCTCTGCTATACTGGCCCTTGGCTGTCGTTGCATGTGCACTGTGTGATGCACACAAAATGTATGGTCCGATGCGATCGTTGGGAAGAATGATCAGGAAACCCTGGGTGATTTTTGGAGTAAAAACCCCCTTTAGCCTGGTACCTCAAGCTTAATGGTTGCTCTCATTCTCAAGGGAAAATTTGATTAAAAAATCGAATTTGTGTAATTTATCTACCCCCAAAACTGAAGGGTCTGACGTCGGACCCAGCACAGACACATGACAGACTGAATGACTTCTGGCAGTCTGCTCTAACATGTCACACTACAGTACAAACTTCAACTCATTAAACTGTAAACTACTACATGTAAGTCAATCATGGAAACATTCAAAATTCCATGAACAGAATGTGCAATTAGCCTACATGTCCCTTTACAAACATACCAAGGAGCGTTCCAAACCTTGTCGTATCCTGTCATCCCATTTTGCACATGCCGCGGCACCACAGACATACACGTGTAAACGCATAGACCACCAGTCTTGCGCGGTAAAATAAAGTTAAAAATCAGGGAGGGGGGCTTGGGCCAAGTCCTCGTAGCGAAGTTCTGAGTTCAGAAGGTCTAAGTTCAAGTGTGAGTCTTTGACAATCCACTCATCTCCACAGCAACTGACAACAACTTAACACAGAAGTTACCAGCGTATCAGGAACCAAGTTTTCATTGACTTTTGTGTCAGGAATAAATTAATAGGCTAACACACAGCATGTTTGTATGTTTGTAAATGAAGTGTACATGCAATGTTAGATTTCTGGAACGCTGTTATGACAAGGTCCTTGGGACTTTAGAAAATTACCTTGTTATAATAATGACCTTGTATCATCAGTAATGGAAAACACAGAGAACAAAGACTTAGGACCTAAGATTGTCCTTGTTATACCCATGATCTTGTACGAGCAGTGTTCTTCTTACCAGTGTTCAACTGTACTTAAATGCCAAAGTTTGTCCGTCTGTCAAGAGAGACTGGGATTTTGCCTTCTCATCTGTGGTAATTAATCATCTAGTGATGCATCCAAGTGCCTGGCCTTCCCAAATTACAAGGCCAGGCGTCTCATCCACATGTCAGTCAATTTACATGAACAGTACATGCAATTTTAGAATTCTGGAAATACGTGTACTTTTAATAAAGGTATGCTAAAGTTGTTGAAACTAGCTTGGAAGATTTTTATTCATGCTGCAGCCAAGTGCCTGCTTTCAAGAGTTGACGAGACTGAGTTGACTTGGGACCTACATGTAGTTGACCTGACACGGAGTTGACTCGGGGCGAGTTGAGTCCAGACCAAGTTGATGACTTCACACTGATGGGTATACAGTGTTTTCATATTGCCATGTTTCGCAGGACCATATCCAAATCTTTAAAAAGGCAATTCACAAAGTCTAAGTTGCTCAGACTATTATTGACTGATCTACATCACCCTGATGCAGGCGCGTCAAATATCATTTCCAAAATTCAAATATGCACAGCATGCCAAAGAGAATCTGGGCTCATGGGATGGCCTTGTATTAGCTGCACATACGGGGAGCACATCAGACCCAATGACTTGAGGTATAAACAATTTGGAAGATATGTGCGCAAAATCTAAGTGGGCATATAGGTTTACTAAAGTTACTCAAGTCGTTTTCACAGAAACGGGCCATGCACATGTACTGTAGCCAGTGAGTGTAGGCATGCCTCGTGTTGATTCCTATTCCAACATGTAGGATCACTATCTCAACATGGTCTTTTCCTTTCTCCATGGGGATGTTGGAAAACTCGACCGTTTGCCAACTCGACTTCGGACAACTCGACCGTTGAGACAACTAGACCTTTTGTCAAGTCGTCCGTTAGGACAACTCGACTCTGACAGAGAGACAACTCGACCAGTGAGATCTCTACGTGTAATACTGTCATTTTCCCAGTTCCAGATCACGAAAATTATGCAGTCAGATTGCAGCTACAAAAAATCCTCATTTTCCAGTGAAATACGGTCACCATCCACCTTGTGCGCTAGATATACTACCAACTTAATTTCAAATTTTGAACTTTTAATTTGGATATACAGGATCGACGAAAGTGGCAACACTTTTTCTCGTTCTGGATTGGTTTCCTGAAAGTAACCATACGAGTGGCAAATCCATTTTCAGCCATAAAAGCGCTTATTTTCTTAATAAAAAATTTCTTGATTTAGAGAAAATTGGTTGAAAAATAAGAATTCCAATGAATTAAAAAGTGAATCATGTGTAAATTTCGACTCAACTTTTTGAAGCTGCACAGCGCAAGCCATCAATGATACTACCTAGTGCTGCACAGTTGACGAACCCATTACGTCACATACATTTCTGCAACGTACGTATCGTAGAGGGCCAAGTTTTCGAAGGTACACATTTTCGACGCTTGAAGAAAGATGCTCGTAATGGTCATGGGTACATGAGGGCTGGAGTTGTCGACATAGCTACCTTGTATGCAGTCAGTCTCCACAAACGGCAAGCAGGACATCCATTAACTCTCAGATGGTTCAGAAATTTTATAGGAAGATGGCCGGAGCTTCATGTGAAAAAACCACGAAGCTTGGACATATAAAGGGGCAAAAACTACATCCGAGGAAGTTGTCAAGGCATATTTCACTGAGCTTGACAGAATAATGACCACAGGCTAAAAGATGCCCCTGAGAGAATCTACAATATTGATGAAAAGGGACCCAATCATTCTCCACCACATATCAACAGTGCATCCAAGAGCACAGTTGCTGTCACTACAGGCAAGGGGTCTACTGTGGCAATCATTGGTTGGGGGAATGCCACTGGACAGCAACTTCCGCCATATTTCGTATTTCCAGGACAGAGGATGAGACAAGAGCTTCTTTAACCCTAACACTCCTCAGTCCTCCAACAGGTGAAGGATTGAGGAGAGTTAGGGTTAAGGCTGCACTCCGGGTGCCAGTGGAACTGTGACAGTGGCTGGTCCAACTCTGAAATTTTCATGGACTGCATTTCATCACATTTTTTAAAGTATGTCACAGACAGCCATGACAGCAGAGAGGATGAGCACATCCTTGTCCTTTATGATGGACATTCTTCCCACATCTCCCTGCCATTGATTGACTGGGCAAGAGAACACAGTATTGTGTTGTTTGTCTTACCAGCACATACGAGCGACGTCCTGCAGCCAGTGGATGTTAGATGCTTCGGGCCATTTGAGAAAATCTACAATTCAATTTGCCCCCAACACACGCGTGCTCACTTTACGACAGGCATCGACAGATACTCCATCTGTGAACTTGCATGCAGAGCATACTCCAAGGCCCTATCCTCTGACAACTTACGAAGCTCTTTCAAGAAAACTGGCATCTACCCTTGCAACTATGAAATAATCGATGTCAGAAACCAGGAACCAGCCGAGGCGCTAAATAGGACAGCAAGTGAGCCGAAAGATTTGTCTGAACCCCAACCAGTTGGTCCACAAGGTGACGGCAGTGGCAGCCTCCCTCACTCCGACTCCTGTGATCTCTTCAAAAAAAGAGAACAGATCATAGGCCAACGAGAGAAAGTACCAAGAAAGAGATGTCTCTCTTCAGTGACATCGGGAAAGGCCATAACTGAAGAAGCAGTAAGGAAGAAGATTGTGCAGTTTGTTGAAACGTCACCAAAGAAGACATCAACCAGAAAGAAGAAATAACACCCCACCAAAAGGGCAAAGAAAACAGAATCTGCTGCCATGGCTGCATCACAACACTGTGAGCCTGGACCAAGCCGAACAATCACATCCGGTCGTGATGTACATGTACCTTCTGATGAGGAAATTAACGAGGACGAGAAATGCTGTGTGTGTGTCACCGATACCGCCCTATTGAATTTAAGGATTCACTCTATTTCACCTCATGGGCTCAGTGCATGTTCCAAAGCTGTTCACATTGGGTTCACCTCAAGTACTGTTGTAATGTCACACAACTACGACTGAAAGACACATTTTTTGCCCGTGCCATGGTTTGCCATGCTATCAGTCCCCAACAGAAGAGTAATTTTAAGTTCTTTCCCAGTATGTGCTTGGTTTACTTGAAGATCCAAAATGTAGAAAAGTCTTAAAAGTGGCAAAGTTGTAAAATTGAAAAAAATCTTTCAGTTAATGAATTTCTTTTCATGTTCAAGAGGATTGTGTTCATTTTGCCAAAACTAAATTATTCATTACGATGATAAAAACTAATTCCTTGTTTATTAAGAGGATGGTAATTATATATAACGGTTTGCCCGTACCCAACGTATATTAATAAGCACTGTATGCTCAGTGCTCGTCCGAGAGCTTGCAAAAAAACCTCACAAGCTTACTCGGGTGGGACTTGAACCCACGACCTTGACATCTTGAAAATAAGAGGATGGTCTTGATGATTCGGAAAAGGTGGGGAGAAGGAGAGGATAGCAGGAACCATGAAGACCCAAGGGGAAAGGAGGTGATAAAAAGGAACTCCAGCTTCCCCATCCCAAAAGTGGAGCAGGTGGGCCCAGGCCAAGGGGTATCACTAGATTATAACAATGCTGAAAAAGCAAACCAACAAGTCTTTAGCATATGAGCATTTTTGAGGAAAGAGTGAGAGGCTGGGTCAGGAAAAATGCAAGATGAACCGATAAAAACATAGATGGAAGAATTTTACAATGCCACACAACATTTGAGTAGTTTCAGACATTTATTTTGTGTATGGCTTCACTGGGACACCTTACTCAACGGGACCGTTGAAAATAGGTCACAATGCTTACTGTGCGGTGCACCACAGACAGCAACTATACCAGGTAGGCCCTAATTTCGCAAAAGTGACAGGAGTGATCAACGTTCTCCAAGTCTGTGATATGAAAGAAGTGAATGAGACCTCTTTTGGTGTGATACTTTTGTTCATGTTGGTCAGTTTGAAAAAAAGACCTTACATCGTTGAAAACCGGTCATGCGGGGATATAGTAAGAATGATTTTGCAATGTGCATGCACTTAATGCATGACCCAAAACTAGGAACAATATGGTTTTCGGCCAGTTTTGATAAAACCCAACTCTGGAAGTCATTTTGATTAAACAGACATTAGATGCAAAGGTTTATTAATATGACTGTTGAGTATGAAAAAAAATAATTTTGGATCACTCGTTGTGAATGACGTATCACCCTGTAACTATGCGTCAATTTTTTTCCACTAGGGGCCAACCATGATTTTTGACAAACCAATCACAAATGTCGAAGAACAAATCAGAAATCTGGCCAAATTTTTTTTCTAGAAATTTTTCGAGAACAAGTTTTGTTCAACAAGAAGCTTACATTTCACCTTTTAACCAGAACCTGTCTGAGAATATAGGACCGAAGCGCAACACAAAGGAAGAAGGGTTTTATTTCAAGCAATCCAGAACTGGGTATACGCATGCGACTTGTCTCGCCCTTCTACGCATGGACGGTCGAATTGTCTCAACGGTCGAGTTGTCCGAGGTCGAGTTGGCGAACGGTCGAGTTGTCCGGATACCCTCCATGGTCTACCCCTCAACTGAAGAACTACTAGGCTTATGAATTTATTCCTGTAAAGTGTAAAATAATAAAAGCAAAATCCATTGTACTTACTTCATCAATGTCATCAGGTGTGTCAGCGATTCCCAGACTAGTCGCGAAAATGAACCAATGAGCCACCGCGCGCTTGCGCTCAGCATACAGTACAACACACGTGCACGTACGTGTGCGCGCCACTGTACTACTCACGTGTTGTTTGCAGTGTGTATGTTCGTAGTATCCGTGTACTGCAAAATTTGAGTTCTGCGTGGCGACGCGGCAAGTACGGAGTGCTTGGTGGTAACAACAGCGCCATCACTCGGCATGCAGTCGCCGCATTTTTCATAGCACTTGCCGTCCCCCCTCGCCTACACAGAAATCTTTTTAGCTGTTTCGGCAACTTTGCCGAAACAGTATTGTTTTTCTGATTATTATTATTTTTTTACAGTGATAACCTAAGTAGTTTATTTATTATTATTATTATTTATTATTTATTTTTTAGAATGAATTTTTCCCCATAGACTTTGTACACAGATTGCACACAGTTTTCGGACTATCCTATATCAGGCTATGATGGCGCTATTGCAGAATTGCGGTTACACCTGCATGGGCTTTCAATTTTCAACAAACTGTCCTATATTGAACTATGGATGGCGTTCTACACAACATAGAGTTGAGTTTGTACACACATTGTCCAGCATAATGCGTGAGCAGTCTTCAACTTTGAACGAGAATTACTACCAGAACGAAAAAGAAATCAGACTAAATTTTCCCTTCCGATCGTTCGCAAATATACCCAAGTGTGCAAATATTAAATAATATTTCATAAGTTTTTTCCAGTTTAGACAAAAATCACGTGACATGGAGTTAAAGGAGCAGTTTTCCTGCATACGTGTTTCTAGCCCATTGACTTTGTACACGTTTTCGAGCCACAATTTTTGTGACTTTGCAGTGTTTGATCGTTCCCAAAGTGATAGCCAACAAAGACCCTGATGCAAAATTTATTGCAAAGGGATGACGTCATGATGACATCATCACCTTATTTTATATTCATTTGTGAATATTTAATTTTTCCCCATAGGTTTTGTACACGTTTTTCCACTTAAAACAAGTGAAAAAGTAGTCTTTAACTTCGGCGCAAGATTACTATAAGAACGAAGGAGAAATCAGGTACATTACGCTCTGTTATTTTATTTGAAATATGCCTAAGAGTCCAAATATGAAGTAATATTTCACAAAAATTGTTCAGTTTAAGCGCAAATCACGTGACATGAACTTAAAGGAGCATTGTTTCTGCAAATAAGTTTTTTTGCAATAGACGTTGTACACGTTTTCAAGGTACAATTTTAAAACCTTTCCAATGTTTGATGGTTATCAAAGTGACAGCCAACAAAGACCGTGATACAAAAATTATTGTAAGTAAAGGACGTCATGATGACGTCATCATGTCATTTATTCTTGATTTTTCAATATTTATTTCAGCCCATTGTCTTTGTACACGTTTTCAAGCCAGCATTTGGGTTAGTTTGAGAGCTTTGATCAAATTTAAAGTTACAGCCAACAAAGACCTTCATGCAAAGATACGTCCAGATTTATGACGTCGTGATGACGTCATCATGTGATTTATTAGTGATTTGTTAATATTTATTTCAGCCCATTGACTTTGTACACGTTTTCGAGGCACTATTTTCGTACCTTAGTAATCGTTGATGATCGTCAAACTTACAGCAAGCACTAACTATACAACTGAGATAATTCTAAAATATTTATGTCATGATGACGTCATCACGTGATTTATTATCAAATTTTGAATAAAAACCCATATAAAATCAACCGTGGCCTCCCGCAACATTCGGTTTCCAGCAAGTGATAGGATATATAATATGTGGTTGAAACCGGAAGTAGGCTTATTGTTTAAAAGTGGTAAAAGCCATTAAGTTTTTTTTTAACGGAATGAGTCTGTCGGTGTTAGTGCTGGGTTGAAACCCTGCTTATATCCTGGAGAGGTAGTGCTTTGGGCAAATATTGAGCATATTTAGTGATGATGACGTCATCAGGAGACAAGTCACGTGACATTAAAGGGGATCTCTTGAAACCACTATACCTCGAAAAGTACAGGTCCGATGCGGTTGAAACTTTGTGTGTGGCTGGAAATGGAAGGGTTTTAGACCCAAATTGATCTGATTTGATTCTGATCTCATCTGGTGACAAGTCACGTGACATTAAAGAAATACAATTCTTGTAACTGGTATCACATCCACTCGTGATGACGTCAACAGTCGAAGAAGTCGTCATATGTTATCTTTAAGTAAGTATTATAATTTTTAAGCTATTGTGAGAAGCTCCACAATGTACAAAGCAAACTCTCAACTGTGAGAATAATATCACGTGACAAGTCATATTAGATTATCTTCTGAAGTGGCCATCCAATTGCATTGGTTGAAACTGATTATAAATGAAATTTTTTCGGGGTTATATGTCACGTCCAGAATACCAAATTGTTCATTTTACTCTCTCATAGTTTGAGGTTTTTTCATCACAATTGCCAATACTTATTTTGTGGGTGTAACAGTCCCGAAACAGCTCTGTGTTTGTACTTGTTTACACACACTTCTCTCTAGTTTTTTTTTCTAATTCGATTTGATTTAGTTATTCGCTTTGCCAAAATACAAACAAAAGTGGAACACAAACAACAAGAAAAACCCCCAGTAATTAGGAAATATTGCAGGAATAGGCCTAACCATGGAGCCTTAATTTCCTTGAGCAAAAAAGTTTTAAAAATTCCCCAAGCCCCGTCCATTGCACGTATGCGGTCCCAACGTCCAATATAACATAATTTACCCCCTTTTCAGCAAATATTTATTGTTTGCAACTTAATGAGCCATTTACAGGTCAAAAGGAGAGAAAATGGTGAACAAAGGAATTATAAAAGATTGACTGTTTTTCCTAGCTCCGTCAACCATGGCAACGTGAAATTGTTTGAGATAGCGCCCTCTGTAGGGCTGCAAAGAGACACGACACACCGTACGTGCAGGGACTGTCAACCTTATTATTTCGATAAGTAACAAATCTTACAAAAAACTGGCACAGTCAGAAAAGGACCTCGTTAGAAAGGATCCCAAGATTCAACTATTTTCCAGGTATCATGTTTTTTGCTTTACATTTCTTTGTAATTATGTCTATGCGTGACCGAAACGTCGAGAGATAGGCCTACATGATCGTGATGCAGCCATGGCCCATGGGGGATCAAAACAGAGACTTAGCTATAGCCTAACCATGGGGGTTGTAACTTTGGTGATCCTGTTCCTAATTATTTGAAGGGAAAGCTACATTTTAACATTTGAATTAACCTTGGTAGGTGAGTGTGACATCATGCTCAATAACGGTAGGGTTGATGCTGTCAAAAATAAGGGCAGGGTTGTTGAGTTTTGAGGGAAATTGTGAGGGGTAACTGTGAGTGGTTTAACACATGACACGTCATGGTGGATTAAAATTTGCATGGGTTGTTTATCAGTAAGAAATTCACATTTTCTCACATTTACAATTTGCAGTTTCCAAAAAACAGGGTCAGCACAATGAAAAGAGTGTTGCCCTTTGTTTGGGGGGATCTACCAGTTTTGCAAGATTAAAATGACAAAAAAGGGGGTCCCCAAGTCCTAAGTATACAACCCCCCTAACCATCACGACCATGCTAACGTTACTCAGAGATAGCCTAACTGGTAATTGTGGTAATTGCCAGGCTTAGCTTACAAGTTTTAGGCAGATTTAAAAAGATGATATGACCCCAAAATTAAGCAAAAATTTACAAACTTTAGGGGCAAATTCCAGATACCGATGCTGCTTGACACCTTGTTAACAAACCTTTGTGAAAAATTCTAACAATGCTAACAGACTGTGAATATGGTGAAAGTATAGAATAGTTACCAGGTCCCTAATTTTGCCACTGGGTACGTGGTATTCACAAAAAATAGGTTAAGTCAAGTGGCAAAATATGGGACCTGGTGACCATACCGTCATGGACGTAAATATTTCCCAAGTGAATAGGCCTACCTTTACATTATTGGTAATCACTCTTATAAGCGTTATTGGTAATACAGCATGGGTGATATTGCACAATGATAGAAAGGCATTGTGGGAAGGAAAAGCGGACAGTGTTTGCTTCTTTTCCCTTCCCACAATGTCATTCTGCCATTGTGCAAAATTACTCATGTGGTATCCCCAATAAGGCTTAGAACTGAAGTAGAGGTTCACATCAGAACTCAGATGCTGTTCTGAAACTCAGACAAGTCCCTTTTTGAGGGACAAAATCAGTCCTCTGAGAGAGGGAATATCTCAGCCGCAAACAGTGACTTTTTTAAAATGGGCTTGGGGATCCTTTTAATGCCATAGGCCTAATTAGATTCAGCAAAAAAACCACCCATTTATAAAATTTCTACTGTTTACTTCTAGGATTGGGGAAGGGTAGGAAAAAGACTTTATCCAAACCAATTTTTTTCTGAATATCAATCCTTTACATACAGTCAATCGAGTGACACGGTACATAATTCATACAACTGAAAATAATTTATATGAATGAAAAATATGTGGGAAAAAAAAATTGCTGATAGTATGCAGGTTTGTTTTTTTTTAACCTAAGACCACTTGCAAAAAAGCCCCCCTTTAAGGATTCACTCTCTCTTTTAGGAAACTGATTTGTTTCCAAATAAAGGGATTTTCAGGGCAGTCTCCGAGTTTGATGTGCACCTTACTGTCCAAATTTGACTGCTTAGGATTTTATTTGCTGTAAGACAAGATGACTGATAGTAACACTAGGTCACTGCATGGAAAAATTAGTGCTGTTCATATACTCGTGTCTCATGTTGCGCAGTACACATGGTGCACTAACAAGTGTGCCACGACACCAACACTTTATCATATATAGAATTCTGTCCGAATTTCAAACCCAAAGGGAAGGAAACAGGTAAAAATCACCTGATTGATTTGTACAGTGGTTTGCACATGCATACATGTATTTGGCCAAAAGTGAAGACTGTTCTGGTCTTATGCAAGTGAGACCAGTGAAGCATTACTTGAAAGTTGAAGAGCAGGTTTTTTGCAGAAGGCAGTGCAGGACTACAGCCAAAATGGAAAGAATTACCAGGTCCTTTTGAACAGATTTACACAACAGTCATCCAGGCCTCGAATTTCATTTTTTTTTAGGGCACTGCCATCTTGGCGGTGAAACACGATAACTTTTGGGAGGCACCACGGCCAAATGGGAGGGCACTGACGGCCATGGCCGTCGTGAAATTCAAGGCCTGGTCATCTGATAGTACACAGGAACATGTTTTTATATGTGTAGACTGTGAAACTATAGTATACGAATAATGAATTTGCCTTGAATGGAATATTTCGTCTTTCATCCCTTGAAAATGTTCTAACCATTGCACGAATGAAAAAAACATTCATTACTTGTTTTATATAACTGTCAAATACATGTAGATCCTTGTCATTTGATTTATCTTTAAACAAATTTCAAACAGTTTCAAATCCCAATAAGTTTTCGGACCAAATTTTATTCTCTCCAGGTTTCGATCAGCCCTGCGCGTTGTGCTTGTGCTGTCTGTTGTGCTCGCGCTGCCTTTCAAGGGACGAGGCCATTCATATGTTGTGGAAACAAGGATGATCCTAACCGTTGTATGTTTTTACCATCCGGACATGGGCGAGTAGTACCTGACGCAGCGTGAAGGGCAGGAATAATGAATGTCATGTGATGCATCTTGCACCAATCAAATGACAAGGATCTGTATGGCAGTTATATAATGAAAACTAATGCAGATAGGAAATTCAGTTACATTACAACAGTGAAAGTTTTAAAATATCTGAAAGTTTACATGCATTATTGTTTAATTTTTTTCACCTAATAGTGTAATTTAATTGCTCTTTGGGTGCTCCTACATCAAGCAAAATGAGCAGTGATACATCATCAGTGTCAGAGCACCAGGGCCGGATCACTGAGGCACAGCTTAGGAGTCGCAACTTCCAGCCCCGCGTCTCTACTCCGGACACCGACATCACCGAGTGCCCCCAACAGCCAGACATCACCCTCTTCTGTGACAAATGTGGGTCCTTCATCTTGCTGCGCCTCTTGCAGGAGCACCGCAAGTACCACAGCGCCCTCGCTGTGCTAGAGTACCGGGATGCACAGTCACAGCCAGAGAGTGCCGCGGCATTGCTGAAGCGTCGGCAGGCCGTCTTGGCGAAGCAGAGCCGGCGGGCGGCCCGAGAGGACCGGCCTGTGTCCATGTCTGCAATGCAGCAGATCAATGGTGCATACGAGCTGCTGAAGTCCTATCTTGAGGACACATACGAGGACCTGATCCAGACGCGGGAGATGATCTACCCAGAGTGCCGGGGGCTGGCCCTGACCTGCAGCGCGAGATGCGCCCGGGCCCTGGGCATCTGTTCCCACGACAACCAGCGCTGGAAGCGCAGCATGGAGGACACGCGCGTGTTTCAGGACTATTTCGGCAATGACGAGAACAAGTGCTTCTTTGCCATCTATGACGGCCACAACGGGCGGTTTGCGGCGGACATCGCCGCCAATGACCTCCACCACTTCCTCTTGAGGGAGATGACTAAGTTTGACCCAGCAACTGCCTGCACGTGCACCCTAAACCTCGCTGAACACAATGATCTCATCGGCTACCAGCTGGATCGGCCCAGACCGGTCATCCGTAAGGACAGTGTCCGGCACATTCTCCACCAGGAGAGCCACAACATCATCCAGCAGATCATGCACACGTGCAAGGAGAACGTGTCCAAGCTGGAAGTGAAAAATGGCGACCAGCCATCGAGGAAAGAACCCAAGTCCAAACTCCCAAACAGACGCGAGAATGATCCCTTTGCCGAAAAGGTGGAGCTGGCATTCCGGAACTCCTATCAGTTCCTTGATTACATTCTGTCATATGGAATCGATGAACAGTCACGTGTGCGGTGGAGTGGATGTTCAGCATTGACTTGTGTCATCCAGAGGACGGGAGACTTAGATGAGGAAGATGAACAAGATGAGAATGAGATGGGCAATGGCAGAGACAAACATGTAGAGACAGATGATGAAGCACAGGTTAAAGAATTGGGAGTGCTGTATGTGGCAAATGCAGGTAATAATTGAAAGATGGGTGGTCATTTTAAACAAGATGTGTCTTTTAAAGTTTGGCTAAATTTATGTACATGTACCTGATGATGCTTTCAGGACTTTGCAAGAAAAAAAAAACATGTTTATTTTAGTTTAGCCATTGAGGAACCCGAGCCATCACTCTTCAGAATTTAAACAATTCAGAGTTGTGGAAAGTTTTCAATCTCTCAGCAGACTGTGGCGAATAAACTAAACAAACCAGTCATGCTCAAATGTTCAAAATCCGCTTAATCTTTTTCAAATGCAGGAAATTCGCATGCTGTACTCTGTCAGAACGGAAAGGCTGTCCGACTGACTCGCAAACACACTCCACAGTCCTCCCATGAAAGAGCTCGTGTCCTGCGAGCTGGCTGTGCAGTCAAAGATGGTGCCAACGGTGGACGAGTCAACGGCGTGCTGGATACAACCAGAGGCCTGGGTAACCACGGCGACCCCTTGCTGAAAACCGCGGTGCTGGCTGAGCCCCACACGGTGAGCGTCACCATCGACAGCCAATCGGAATTCCTCATCCTGGCTTCACACGGGGTGTGGGAGGTCCTGTCCGAGCAAGAGGCCGTCTCATTGGTCAAACAGTTGATGCCCGGTCAGGAGGTCTTCCCGAGGCAGCCACTGCCAACCGATGACCCCCTCAGGGACTTATATGGCATTGAGGGGTTGAATTTGGCACCCTCGCTGGGTGGTGATAACCAGGGTGCAGATCAAGACAAGGATTCCAGGGACAGTGCTCTCGAAAAAGATCATCCTGAGCCAAGCAACGACATAAATTCGGAGGATGCCAGTTACGCTCCACCTGCACAAACGAGTGAACCAGGAAAGGAAATGCGTCAGGTGGACGAAACAAACAGTGTCCGAGACGCACCAATCAGTCAAACAATTCCTTGTGTGGTGCAACCGAAATCTGCGAGTGCTTCACCAGCAGCAGATAGCACCTCAAATGGCAACCACTCACCAAAGCTGCAAGAGCGATATCTCCTTTCCCCTCGTCAGACCCGGGAAGCACCATCTGCTGGCAAGGTGACAAATGACGATGACAACATCAGTGATCAGACGGATTTCGAGAGCATGATCTCAGCGCTTATGGAGAACGACGACGGCAATGAGGCAGACGTGGAGACCTTGACCGAGCTCCACACCATCTATGCCCAGTCCCGGCTCCAGGAAGCCGAGGAGCAGGGCTCGCGCACCGAGCATGAGATGTACCGCAACCTGGCGCAGCAGATGAGCGAGCGGCTCGTCCAGAGTGCGCTTCTGGCTGGCTCCAGAGACAACATTACAGTCATGGTCATCCTGTTGCCTGGATGCAAGTATTAGCATTCATGGATTTAACCTGCTGGACAGCTGTGTATCTGTTTGTACGCAGGCTGTCTGAAGTACTTGGCTAAAGCCAGAATACCATGTGTGCGTATGGAAAACACTGGCTAGTAGTGGCTATAGCCACTTCCAATAGAAAGTTTAGTACTCCTTGCCTCAGCCTGTTAATTCAGTCTTCAAAATTCTTACGTACAATGTTGGCTAACAATTGAATTGAAAACACACTGCACAGTCAATAGGCAGGACAGCTGTGCAGATTTTCAGATCACTGTTGGAGTGTGTGAACGTTCAGTAAAGTGAGGGGGGGGTCAAGTCCCACAAACACAGGATGAAATGTGAAACATCAGTGGCATTGATAAGTGTGAAAAAATTTGAGCTTGATTGCAAATTTAATTAAATATTTTATGCTCTTGTCCCCAGTTCTCCAGACTTGGTTGAAATTGCTTCCAGTAACAGGTCTCATTGTGAATAATTTACATTATACATTTGGCGTGTATAACCTCGATAAAATTTCAAACAGGCAAGCTTGATTGAAAGGATTGTGAAACAATTGTTTTAACTATGTACAATGAAAAAAGGTTTACTCTCTCAGAATCTTCAATTCGAATGCAACTAGGTTTTCATCCTTTGAACTGCAAATGATTTCTTATATCAGATTTTGGCATTCTAAGTGACATTCCACATTCAACAGGAAGTGTGTTCCATTTTTCATTGCTCAGAGGTGAGGAAGCAGGAATTTTGGATATGGACAAAAATTAATCGATCCATTATTGTTGCCTGACTTTTATAAACACAAATTGCTAAAATTGCTATATTTGTTGTTTTTCCCCCATTACTACTGCTCAGTATTTTAATCATGCCGACGTGTTTTCAGGCTGTATTTGACGACACAACTTTTCAACTGTTGAACTTGAATCGTGGAAAAATGGTGACCGTTTCTGCAAAGCATAGTACATGTATTTGGTTACGTACATGTATTACGTGTGAACTGGTCAGATCACGTGAACAAGAGATGAGCACTGCTGATGTGACTGACACTGCACGTACATGTACATTCACATGTTCATGCTATAGCGTACAGCTGAGCTCCCTCGACCATTGTCTTTATAACCCAATATCACATTCATAACACTGTTTGGACAAAATGCCCAAGTTAAATGGTTGGCCCGTTCTCTTCCTTCAGAGGGGACATTTTATTCAGGGAGCTGGCTAAGGCACACATTCACATGAACAGGTAAATGGTTCCAATCGGCAAGCACAAAACATACTTAAAATTTGCTGTGATCTTCAAATAAATTTTTAACTGTCAGAAAAATGCTTCTTGTTCTATCCAAGGGGGGTTTCCTTCCGCTTGCAACACATTTGATTGGCTCGAAGAAGCCCATCAAAATTGCAGTGTGACTTAGCTTATAACCTTCAAAGCTGGGCTATTTTGGCCTGTCTCGTGGGGGGGGGTCTGCCCCCTCCAAGAACTTGACTGTCCAGTGCCCGATTGTTTAAAAACTTGTGACGAATGTAGAAAAAGAACCACCCCACTCAGAATAAACATGATGATAAACTAAATCCAGCTTGTGATTTTGTTGTTACCATCTTTTGAAGTTCAAAGCAACACATGCACCAGCTGGCGTGCATTGAGCATGGGCAGTGGAAAAGTATACACACTTTGGGCCGATTTGTCTCAGAAAAATGGACGCTGCGTGAGAACGGTACAGTGGTGTCAAAATGACTGCAAATGACCATTTCCAAGCACTGCACTGATATCGGAAAAAATCCCGGCTCATTTAGGGTTAAATCTAAGAAACGCCATTAAAACTAGACAATAGATGGAAGCTTCTTTAATAATTAATCATCTTTTAATACAATACAGTTATTTCTTAGTTCATTGCTACAATATTATTCCAACATTAGCAGTGTTTTCCATACTTTTCTCTTCCTAGCAATTACCTTAATAATAAACCTGTACACATTCATAAATCAGAAAGATGTGTCAGGGTAAATTGTAGATCAGCCAAGTTTTACAATTTTTCCTTTTTTTTTCTCCTCCTGACAAGAACAGTGTACGTGTACTCCCCATTGGAACAATCTCCCCTTCTCATTTTTCCCTCTGAATTTTTTTGTTTTTGGTACAGATCTAATGGCCTACTAACCATTGCAATATACAGCCAAACACCATGGTTTAAAACAACCGAGAAAAAAATAGGAAAGAAAATTACATGAATCTACATTGAGACATCGGACACAATGCGCTCTCACAGAGAAGTCTGTGACTCAAACGTGGTTCGATCTAACCTTTATTTAGAAGATGGCCATGTGTGGTGCCGCGAAGGAGATGTTCATCACTTTCCAAAGAACATCTAGAAAAATTTCCTTAGACAGTGCTAAAATTGATGGGTTCATATACAGGTGCACGATTCTGTTATTCTCCGACTGGGTTACATATTATGATGCAGTTACATGTATGTGGCCATGGTAAAAGTTTAATAAACTGACACAAAATCAACCTTAAAAAACAAAGTTACACTAGAAGAATGTATCTGAGCATCGGGAATTTCTATGTTCTTGGTTGCATTATTCAGGACACAAGTACTAGAATGCTTCTGTTGACCCCATCGGCAATGACAAACACTAACTGGTACACCCAGAGGCACTCTCTGTCTGTACCAAGAACTAAGTGGGACTTAGTCCCAAGTAATGAAAAATCCCTACCAAATCCTTCCTTGGACTTCAAAGGTTCTGGAAGGCTACAGGACTAACTGTAGTGGTGTAAAAGTATGACCCCAAAACAAATAAAAACAATTCTATCACAACATTAAAAAGAAAAAGGTCAAGTCAAAATGTGTGATTTTTTTAAGCTGTATTGTTTCCTCTTAAGGGGAACAACTGCAGGGCATTTGTTTTGAACAATCTGATAGTTTGTCTCTTCTAAAACTAAAACTACCGTCCCCCCCCCAAAAAAAAATTTAAATAAAATGAACCTCCTCCACTGGATCCCTTGCTTATAGAACTATGTCAAAAAACAAACAAAACAAAATTCCAGATCAAAGTTTAAAAAATTTCCGATTTGGCTGTCCACTTGATGGTTCGTATGAACATAACACATTTGTACAGTAGGTTATTACACAAGAGAAGCAGATATCCACTTTCTTTCAACAGATTTTTTGTATAACATAATTATCGTTATCTGATAGCAATTGTCAAGTCCTACTTCACTACTGTTCTTTAGGTATTCTACCCTTCAAGTCGGAGTAATCCAGTTACCATATAATCAGGGTGAATCCACTTGCTTGGGGGAGGGGTGACTGCATAAATGTTCAACTACGTGATACAATTTACAAGTATGCAAAAATGTGTCCTCTCAGTTCAGACAAGTATAACCATTAACACCTTTAAATTACAATCATGGCCTATTCCCCTCAAAGGCCTTGGGAAACAAGACCATTACTCACCCCTTACAAACATAGTGGGATGATCTATGGACAAATGCTACACCATTAATGTGGGTGGAACCATTGACATCTAGGGGATGCACCTATGTTGTCAGACGATTCACTCTGTTGCTACTGCAAATTGATACATATTTGATCCTTCCCTCAATTTAGCAGTCAAAACATACATTTCATGAATACTATAATTATAGATTCTACAAGGCTGGCTTGAAAGCTTTTACATGCGCCAGTCATTTCAAGACTTCTTTTGACAGAAAAGCAATTTTTCATGATCGAAATTAAAAAACAAACAAATAAATTTACATGGCGAAAGATGTTTTAATCAATACACAAATATTTATTTAAATGCAGAGTTCTACCCACTACATACAAATAATGCCGCTTTCAGCAAATGTTCCAAAAAGCGGTCTGTACATACAATATTTTTCATCAGATCACCCATGGTTACTTTGATGTGATTTTTCACAGGAACCAGTATCTTTTTAATTTCCATTTAATAACCATTTTGGGGGAGTGGGGTCATTTTGAAATACTTGTGACTGTTGCAAATAGATGAATCAAAAGTCTTTGTCGTTTTTTCCCTTCAGGCAAAGATCTCTGTATCGTGTTGGTTAATGTTGACGTAAATATTTCAGAGTTACTTGCACCACATAGCTAAAAACTCAAAGCATGCTTTCAACTCTAACCACTCAGACCTCGAGGACATGTTCAGTTGGCCACGAGTCCGTTTCAATGCTGTCTTTCCTTGTGAGCAAGCACCTGTACTGGTAAGCGTCAAGTCCGTCCTGGATTTGACGACAGTGTACATGTGTTCTCACTGCATTACTAATCTGGACTATTGATGTCACTCAGTCATCACAATTCAGCTTACCACGTGGAGCTTGAAGACTACCTAAAACGAGCCCCAGCTCCCCAGAGACAGATGCCCACCAGGTTCCTTTGCCTTTCAGACAAACCCACAGAGGCCCTGCCTGTGATTCCAGCTCAACTTCAGGGAAAGTTGTTTACCGAGAAGTCGTTGGATGCTTCTTCACATCAACACCCACATTTCACTAACATAACCCCACTGACTGATGGTCACTGGTCTGTGACAACAACCCAGCCTGACCAAATGGCTGTCTGCTGCACATCCCATTTGAAGTCAATCAGCTCACGTTAGTCATGGTTCCCTCCCTTCCGGCAGACATTTGTGACGGCAACACTCTTCACAGAGAGTTGTCAATTCCCTAACCACACTGAAACATTAGTCACAGCTCAACCTGACTCCCTCTCTGCAGGATTCAATGCACACACACACACAAAAGTCTGCCCACCAGAAGAATGTCTTGTCTATTACGGCAGATTTTCTTTGTACAAATGGTATGCCAAAACTTCTTTCAGTTATTACCTTATGTAAGATATATTCATATGGTGGTGGTGGTATTCATTGAAGAGACGGAGGTCAACAGCTGCACACTGGTATCTGGAATAACGAAAGGAATAGATCACTGCGCGGGGACAGGCACAGGGGGTGCTAACATTCCACACTTTCCAAGCTACTAGCCTGCCAGGAAAAAAAGTGATGCATTTGTTCTTAGGTTGAGGCAAATAACACCAAATTTTTTTTTACCAAAGAAGGCACACTCTGAGAAATTTTCCTAAAACCAGTTTTCAGAGAGCAGGGAAGCTCGTTGTAAGCATGTATTGTACAAATGAAGAGCACAGCTCGCAGGTTTGCATTATCACTGTCACGCTGAACTCTTATTACCGCGTAACTCCAGATGAAAAAAGATTTTCAAAACAAGTCACCTTCACATGCTATCACACAATTCTTGAAGAACCATGCCGCTTGCAAGTACAAAGAGAAAAATGCTTTTGGAATGTTCTTGTTCCTGATGGCCACTGACTTGAGCACTGATCTCATTGGTGGATCCTCAGGCTTGAGTATTTATTCTGCCTAAGACTCGAACAGAGAGCAAAAATTTGTCTGGGTGAAGAACGGCATTTACACAGGGTCACAATTCCTTTTTTGTGGCATATTTTTTCATACCGGACTCGTCCATTCATTGCACAGCGAGATACATAATTTCAGTCGTGTTCATTCCTAAATGCCGGAATGAGTTTCTTGTTCACACGGTGGTTTTTTTTTTTAAAAGAAAAAATATCAAAACACTTGGTTCAACCTGAACTCCCCTGGCCCTGGGTGTGTGTGAAATCATGTTGAAATTTTGCGATGTAAAGGTTAACTACAGATGGAATGGAACCATTTGGCTTCATAAAATTTCTTTGACTTGGGCAAATTTGATACAATGCATTTCTAAAACAAAAAAACAGAAACAGTGAAACCAAATGTAAACTGGTTAATCAAGAATCAGTAAGTCTTTTTAACTCTAAATAACCAAAACACAAAGAAAACAACTTCAGAGTGATCAACTTAAAACAGCAGAAAAATTACTCAGAGTGTGCCCTTCAATTTCCAAACTGGTACATGATGATCACATCAAATCAACTCAAACTGGGACACTGTTCACCCCCCCTCCCTGCCCCACCCCGCCCCCCAAATGCCCAACTGAATCATTCCCGACCCAACAGTGATTTGCTGCTGTTGTTATCGTGTGTTTGTTTTTTTTGTACAGAGAGTTTTTGAAGAGGTGGGGTACGCCTTCATTTGCAGCATCCCCCTGACGACTGTTGTTGGTTTTCTGTGAGGTCCACCCCCCGTCCACCTTGCCTCTGAACCGCACCGGCTCCACCCGCTTGCTCGCTTTTGGGAAGCTTTTTGGCTGTTGGCAAGTTGTGAAGAGAGGACATTAAAAAAATAACTGCACATTAATATGTCAGATTTTTTGCCAGCATAAAGGTGCCTTTCCATAGGTAACATTTGTGGCGAGTCCATATCCGCATCTGTCTACTGCATTGCACGCCTAAATGTTTTTAATGAACACTCTCTACAGCTTACGCGTATGGACCACAACGCCAAGTGAAACAAGTCTATGAAAAGGTACCTTAATTCTTTGATATTCCCTATGACAGCACAGCCTAAAAGAACAACACGTGCCTAAAAGTGATTCCACAGGTCTAGATTACTCTTAACGACTGCACATGATCACAGAAGTTTAATACATGTGAATGTCAAGCTCTGCCGTAACTTGCCACTGAAAATATTGCCAATTCCTCATGCAGCCAAGCAGCTGTGACAAACATTTCCCCAACAGAAACAGTTTGGAACGTTGTTCAGAGCGAGTTGTGAGAGTGAAATCAAATCCAATAACAGCATGCACAGCCATCAACTGCTGTAATAGTGAGAATGTATGCTTTGACTTGTCCTTTCTCTTTCCTTTTGTTACTGAAGGATTTACGTTGCTTTCTAAACTACACAGTAAAGGCGGGCCAGTTTCCTCAAACCCTATCATAAATTATGAAATATTCTAAGGGAACTTTTGACTCCCGATTCTAATAACACCTGAGCTGATTGATCGTGCAATAAAAAGGCGATGTTACTGACAGTGCTGAAATGACGATCGGACGGAACTCACCAATTGCCAAGAAAATGTCATTGACATTCATGGCCGTTTTGGCCGATGTCTCCATGAACAACAAACTGTTTTCTTCTGCGTATGCCTGGGCCTCCTGCGAATACCGGGACAAGGAAGTAGTAACAGGCACAATTAGCATAAAGACTTAGACACACCGAATCACAGAGATGCAAGAGGAATCCTCTAAATTTTACACCACGCAGAATGCATGCCGCGTGGCCGGGTAAAGCACCGTGCCAAGGCCATTAGTCTGGAAAACAACATTGAACAGTGCATGCATTCTGACTCCGCCTGTGAAACATTTTACGGCATCCAAAACTTCCTTGATACAATGACCAAACCACCTGATGGGATTAGGACTCGCTTGCCAACCCTCGTTCCAAAACCCTCCTTGCACAAGAGTAGGATTTTGAAGGACTGTGTGGTAAACATGTGGACGATCGCAAGGGAGGCATTATATTGAGGTCTCGGGACAAACCTTGTTTTGTTTCTACTCGGGCATGGGTAAACCGAGGCCCAGTTTACACTGAGAATCATTCCTACAATACCATTTGCACAGTCTCACAACACTGACAGGGAATACTAGGTGATTTTTAACGGATTTAGAAAGTGGTCACCCCTCTTAAGAACACATGCAAGAAATAAAGGAGGATTTTAGAGGATCGAGGTTGTATCGAATTCTCACATGGAGGCAGTTGGAAGATTTTGAAAAAAATCTGAAGTTGCATCCTTGCAAAAATGTCAAGGAGGTTCATAGGGTTAATCAACTTGTAGAAGTTGCTCATGTCTTGGAATGCTTATTTTTTCGCACTTTTGTTTCGCTCACAGCCTACTGAAAGTATCATATGCAGTAGGCAGCCCATTTGTCCTAACCCCTACCATAATTGTGTTGTCACCCTGGTGAATCCAACAACATCCAATAACTGTTTAAGTGTAAGGCCAACTTAACCCAATAGAATCCAACAGCTAGAAAAAAAATGGCCTTTTGCTCACTGCTCACATCAACAAAATCGCACAGAAAGAGCCTACTGCTGGATATTGGTAAGTTGCGCATTGTTGTGTTTTAATAGTCAAGGTTTTATTGCTATTATCCGATTCTGCGAACGTCGTACACTTACAGCAAGAGATTAAATAACGTTTCTCCAAATAACGGCAATAACACATTTGTTGCAGTGACTCGATACGCCAATCTGGGTTTATCAGGTCTCCCTAACTTTGAACTGGAAGTGAAGGGCACTTGCTGCTCACGTGAGCCCAAGTTATGCCAACACAGGTGGAAAAAAATTAGCTATATGTACTCAGTGCACCACACACTGAATGAACCACTGTGCGTCAGCTAGGCATCCTTCCTGGGCTCTTACAAAGAGCCAGCACAATGGCATTGGCAGTTTGTGTGGGAACACTCAACACCGATATACTCCAGCCTCTGTGGCTTTTGCTGTTTTGACAGACAACGAAGATCACGTGTAGCCAGCCAATTCTTATGAACTCTCCTGCACAATCTCTTCCTCACCTCGTATTCAACCATCCGCTTGTTGGCCAGGTCAGCCTTGTTGCCTGCCAACGCTATAACTATGTTGGGACTCGCTTGTCTTTGTAGCTCCTTGACCCATGTTTTGGCCCGTGCAAATGTGTCCTGCATGTAAAAAACATCACACTCGTGTCATCCAGCTGAGTGAAAGATCTCATATATACAGAGCACAAAACGGATCAAACGTCCATGCTCTGAACGACAGATAGGAGGGTACCCTCATCTTGTAAGGTTGGTATAAACAACGCCAATGCCTAGTCAAATATGTGCAACAGATTCATGTAAGTGAAGTCCAGTTTGGCTGTAAGACCAATCTCCCCTTACTTTTTCGCCGGGGCTGGGAGGACACACTGGTCAAAATGACACTCGCAGGTTTGACAGTGTGAAAAACAGACAACACATAAACATGAAAAAAACAACCACGATTTTGACAGGGGGAAGCCTCACTTGGTTTGTAATGTCATAGACTACGATGGCTGCTTGGGCTCCCCGATAGTACATCGGTGCTAGGCTGTGGTATCGCTCCTGGCCCGCTGTGTCCCAGATCTCAAACTTTACTGTCGTATCGTCTAGGCAGACTGTTTGTGTCAAAAAAGCAGCTGCAAACAAGGAGAGAAATAAAACGAGTCAAACTTCATAGACGGAGCAATAACACAGACCTTTTTCCATTTAGGAAGCTTTCATCTTCCTATGGACTCAATGGTTAATATTTCATGTGATACGGCATTATATTGAGATGAAAATATCATTTGTCAAGGTCACATTGAACAAATCAGAACAATTATGCAAAAGTAAAAAAAAAATCAAAGCATGACACATGGACAAAAGCCTCCAACATGTAGCCAAAATATGGCTTGAAGAATGCTGTTTACAGTGTTTATTGCAGCACTTTACTAAGTTTGCTGTAAGACTTAACTGCACGTCAATATATTTACGCTCAAAATAAAGCTGTAATCTAAAATCCACATTTAAAGTGGCCCAACAGACTTGACACATCATTGTTTCAGCTCAAATATCCTAGGCAAAATATAATTGAACAGTGCAGTACGGCGCACATATACAAAAACACCTGCAGATATGTCAAATGAACACAGTTCATTTCACATTTATGAGCTGTAGAGCTGGGCCATAAATACATTGGTCTAGTTTCAGCTACTCGAGCCATTATTAAAAATCACTAGTCCTTGAGGGAAACTGCAGCACTCGTGGCTGTATACATTTCCCTGGTAAGTACACATCTGGCTATAAGATCTATGCTGTGATTTCAATTCAGACAGCCTCTGGACCTCGATACATTGAGAGAGACAGCGGGGAGAGAAAAAGCACACCGATCTCCCTGAAGCTACACGGAAGTGACAATAGGCTTTGCAGCACACAGCATGTATCGGGCACACCGTATCTCGTTGGATGTGCTCCGCCGAGATAGGTTCCTTGGAAAATGCCACTCAACTGGGACCCATCTGTTTTTTTCGTGATCATAATCACAACGGCCGTGGATCTACTTTCACAACTATGATTATCATACATTAACAGCCATTACACTCAGTGTAGGCGTGTGTCTGCCCAAGTCCTAAGCTTCAATGATACCGTGATCACAACGATAGTGCTGACTGAATGCGCGCATTTCAGACATTTCATTAGTGACGCAGCCGGGTCCTGAACGCTTGCCTGTCTGTGCAATTGAAACTGTGGCACAACTGATGATTTACACAGCTCCCTAGCAATTTCAGTGTGCTTTATTAAATTATGGGGTGACCCAGACCCAAGAAGCAAAATGTGATTTAAGGAGGAATGATGGGCTAAATATTCTAGCGGGAAAAGGCTGCATACAAATACACGCATATGTGTTTCTTTTCTTTCAAAACAGATCACAGTACATGTATATTAAGAGGGATCAAATTCCAGTGAACACTATTTAAGAAATTGTAAACAATAATGCTTTTTTTATTCTTTTTAAAACACCGCAAGAGGGATTAATGCTTTGTTTCAACCTAGGCCTCCCTCTTCTAAATATTTTAATTCATGGGAAAGAGAACAGTAACAAGACACATTCTCAGAATTTCTCAGCTTCAACTGCTCAGCTCATTTTTTGTCCCCAGCTGTCACTTGAAGGTGAAATGTTTGTATTGTTTGCTTTATTATCCCCTAAAAAAGTCTTGAGATGTTACTTCACAATAGAGTATCAAAGTGTGACGTCACTGTGAACCAGAAAGTGCAGTGCAAACGAATGGAGTACGCGCGCGTGTTGGTTCACACGCTGGTTCTCGCGCTAATGCCTTTTACACACTAATTGTGCGCGTGACGTATTCACTTCGGTACTCTATACTGCTACTCCAGTGAATACTGATCTTTGGTACAAATTCTTCACACAAAAACTTCCACAGCCTCTTCCAAAGCCTTATAAATGTCACCAACAAAAGTCACACACTCTTCAACTGTCTAAGGCCATAAAGTTATTTGAAAAATAAAGCCCCAAATACAAAATGAGATTTTTTTTAAGATTCAGTACCTATTGCAAGTACAAAACAGAGAAGTCTTCAGCAAAAGAAAAATGACTACATCCTATTCCCTTTATAGGAAAAAGATAACACCTCCCTCAAGACAGGGTTACTCAAACATGTATAATGTATTTGGAAATGGCAGTGTTCACTGTTTGTTGTGAATCACTCATGCAATCATACTCAAGAGTGCACTGTGTATAACATTAATAGGTCATTACCTTTGCTTGTGCCCTTTTCCCTGTAACAGTGTGCTTTACTTTCACAAACATTTTGGGCATGATAAATGCTTTTGCAATCAATCATCAATGACAATGAAAGCTGTACAATCTTTTTTCAAAGGATGGATTTGATGAAATTCTTTCCCAGCTCTGCATTTAGGATGACCGAGTGATACATGTACCTTATGCATAATTGGATTACTTTGCACTGAACAACTGCCTTTGCTTCGAACAGTATTGATTTTTCCTTTCCACTGTCACAGCGTTTAAATTCATGCCACTGATGTGCATCCACATGTACACAAAGTCAGTTCCATACGGACTCAGTATTGCATGGATGCATCAAAGCATGGATGTATTGTACGAAACTCCAATCACAACAGGCAAGTATAAACTACAAGTAGGGTTGTGCATCTGACCCAGGTACCCAGGTGCCCAACTGCTCATGCCAGACTGGTTCCAGATTGTGACATCAAGTACATGCACTAGTCTTCACAATTAAAATAGGCAATTCACAATACAGTGCATCACCCAAAGATATCATGGAGAGGCCATTATTCACACTGCATTCTGGGATCAGGTATTTGTCTACAACCTCAAACAAATTAGTAACTACAGTAAAATCTCGATACCTCGAATCACTGGGGAATGGACAAAAAATTCGAGTTATCCGAAATTCGAGTTAAAAGAAGGTCCCGATTTCTTTTGAAGTTAAGTCATTATTACGACGTGTATCATAACATGTACCTATACACTGACGCACAGTTACCGTAAATCTCCCTACGACGACTTTTGAAATGACATTGTAATTGTTATATACTTTGGTACCACAAGTTTTGTTATAGAAAGACATTTTTGCCGAGGATTTTTGTTGTCAATCGGCTGACAAATAACACATTACATGTACTGTAAATCATTTAAACTGTGTACCTTTGTGTGGCAAATCTTTCTTTTGCATTGTGCGTGTGTGACACATTGTGGTGGTCCCATTTCTGATACCATACCACAACGCAGCGCCTTGCACATGCGTACTCGGGCGGGGTTTCCCAATGAGTCAGACGAGTTTTTTCATCACAAGGGCGCACCTTTTTGCACTTCAATTAAATTTCGTAAAAACAAAAATGTTATTGGTGTCTGTTTTTACTTTTTGTTCTTCGTTCTTTATTTTCAAACTTTTGTTTATTTTTGGGGAGTGAGGTTTGGCTATGCAAAAGCTCTGCGTTGCAGTCACATGGTTTGTGGCTCTAATTGGGCAGCCATCGCACGGACGAGCGCAAGCAGTTGGGCCAGATCATTTGGCCAGACTTAACTTCCGTACGTGTGGCGTGTGCGGCATACACGAAGATCTCCAATGCCTTGCCACAGCCACCGCAAAGAGCCATCAGTTGGCCTGCCGACGCACTGGCTACAATGGGCCCACGGTAACAATTGGGCCAATTCCTTCAAGTTGGATTTTGCGGTCACGGTGTGGTTACGTGTCTAGATCAATCACCATTGTAGCGCGCTTGCGAGTGTCCTGGTGTGAAGAGACGAAGTGTGCGTGTCAGAAATGATTCATAACTAGACGCGCATTCTGCTAACACTTTCTGAAAGTTTTTTGGCAGCAGTTTCTTTTGGATCTGCTACACAAAAACTTCAAGGTAAACGAATCCGGCAACGTGAGCAGTTCAAGTTACGGATATGTTTTGTACATAAAAGCCTATTCTTTTGGCGGGAATAATTAGTCTTTGAGTGAAGCAGAGTTTCGAGTTCACCGACTTTGAGTTATTGATATTTGACTGTATTCAGATGAAGAAACATGAGCACTTTTGAAAGATCTGTGAGGGGAAATTTGTTGAATATGACCTACCTCCTTGGGGATGTTGGAACAAATTTCAAGTATAAGCCAAGAGTACAAGAGACTTGGCAATTTGAATTAATTTTTGTGTTTGCTTTTTCCATGGAAGTTGGAGTTAGATTGCATGTAAGGGTACCCGCCCAACACCGGTTGCATTTCTTCAATGAGATCTTGTGCAAACTAAAAATATGAAAGTCAGTCATGAATGAAGTTACTTTTGTCACCAGCAAAGTACATTCTGGTGGGCTAACTTTCATGTGACCTGGTCATGTGATCTCAAGCGTTACCGAACCAGTCAATACATCTGAAAGTAACATCTAAATGCCTACTTCCAACACCGCTACAAATTATCGTTGGATGACGAGACAAAAGGGTCAAGGGGCAAACGTTGTTTGCACAGACGATAAACCTTAGATGCATACATGATAGCACTGAGTATCGACATTACAAAGGTTGAACAATTTACAAAGGGAGTGAACTTATTAAAATGATAAACTGCAGCAGGTTTACGAGTCCTGTCACATCAAATCTACAACTTTACCCCCAATAACGGTTTTTCGGTAAAAGCAAGTCTATATTAGTATGAAAATGTAGCTGCATGACTTTCTCAACCAAAACTGACCAGTTTATCATGTTTGTGTAGTTGTCGCTACCTACATGTACGTGTAGTCAGCTTGCAAACTGTTCTTTTGACTGCTATTGGAAACAAGAACAGTTTTGCTACATGTCAGAGGAAAATCATATTTGTGACAGCATGACTCATGACACCGTGCGTGTTCATGCGCAAGCGCTTAGGAAAATAATCTCCAGTGGATACATTTCCTTGTTTTCAGTTTCGCTTTAAATGATGGAAATTCTCCAAGAAAAAAACACACAGCTGACTGTATTCATTTCCTTTGGACTTCAGGTGCCTAAAATTAAATGCAAATGCCTGTGACACAGCACTGAATGGTGCCTTGAGCATTCCACCTTTCACCATTTGTATCAGAAATCGGCGTACACCAGTGTGGGTCATGTGCTGATTGCCTTTGTGCTGACCTGCTCTGAGGCAATTCAGGGTGGTCACACACGTCAATAATCAAAGTTGAATCATTGCAGTCGTAGGTTCCTCAACTTTTAATGCATTCTTGAACTTTACAAGATTCATGTCACTGAGCCGAACCTCACCACAGCTGAACTTGTTAAGCTGGTGGTTCCTGGTCAGGCAAAGTGTTTCTGTTTGCAGACAAGGGAAGCCAATACAGACACATGGTCAATTCTGAATTGGGGCAAATCTGCAATCAACACTCCTACCCCTATTTCACTAACAGCTGTATCAGACAAAGTCTCTGTGGCAACTGAGGTGTAAAAAGAACCCCCCCAAAAAAAGAAAGAAGAATCCAACAGCTAAAACAGATTATTTGGTCTCTGCTGAGATCAACACAATCACATGGGAACTTCCTACCCTCAGACGCTGCTGAACATGGGTTTACGCGAGGCATGACCAAGTTGACATTATTTGTACAGAAGCACTCAAGCTGAACACGGTTCTTGCTGACAGGTTTTAAGTTTATGTGGTCTTGCAAACATCATATATAACTCATATGAATGCATCATTTGCTATGCAACTAATGCAAGAGGTGTAGTGCACTGTTTGCTACTTTCAAAAATTACATATGTTAATTCACGCACGAAAGGTGACCCACTGAGCATGTGTTATCTCTGAAGGTTTCAACACCAAAATAGCCAAAAAGGCAGTGTTTTCCATCCCAAGCTGCCATCTTGGATTACATTTTTACCACTGGTAACCTGTTCTGGAAACCTCAGTTAACGTACACCGGTGAATGATATGAAACACGATGGCTGAAAGCAGTTATCCAGACAGCTGGATGTCTCTGCACGGGCATCCCTGCAAATAAGAAAACGTACATGTATCATCACAGGACTAATAACTCACCTCCTATGGTGCTCTCTTGGTACTCGTGGAACTGACCCTTGACGAACCGTAGCACTAGACTGGACTTGCCCACGGCCGACTCCCCCAGTAACACCAGTTTAAACTGACATATCTTCCCCTGTGTCCCATTTGGTCTTTGTGCACCACCTCTTGCTGCCATGTCTGAAACACAGTTTTTTTTTGTGTGTACGTGTTCTGTTGGTAGGAATGTGACTCAACCAGGCATTCGAGTCAATATTCAATTGACTTCAAGAGCAGTGTTTTGACTCCCAGAGACGTGCAATTTCTCCCTTGAGGTCTGTCCACGAGAGAAAAAGTCTGGCACATTCAACTTGACATGTGCACTTCCTGGGAAGGGAAACAAAGGTATGTTTAATCAGTTGGAACAGTATTTGTAAGGTCTGAGCTAACCGCCATCTCATCTTGCTGTAATCTATTCATGAATGCTTTCTGAGACGCAAAAAGATGTCTCACACTGGAAGCATGAATTTAGAACATCTCAAGGTGAGAAAGAAAATGAGAGAGCTTCATTTTGGCACACTTGCCTCTGTAACAATTCAAATTAAACTTAACTGACCAGTTTCAGGTCCTCATGGAAAAAAAATCAGTTTGAACTTTAATCAATACCTTCTTGAATCAACTAATATCAAAACTGCAGCCTAAACTCCAGCTACGATGTGACAATGATAACACATAAAGCACCTCCTTGTGCAAAGCAGCAAATTTGATGTCTCATGTCTCTGAACTCCTCCAAGTGGGGTTCTGTAGGACTGAGGCTGCACTGCAAAAAAGGTGCGACTGATTTTGAGGGATGCACCACGTCAAGGTCTTGGGCTGGACTGTGTTTAGGTTCAGCCATTCATAAATTCTAGCTGAGATAATACTTGAAAATCCTACGCACAGCTCCATAATATCATATGCACTGCCTCAGCACATTGACAGGAACTGTCAATGGATTTTTAAGGCAGTGGTCACTCCGGCAAAGAACACACTGAAGATTTTGGAAAAGGGAGGCTCCAATTACAAGAAATTATACATATATGTATCCCAAAGAAGTTCACAATGTATATCCCACCACACAAAATAATCCCTGGCTACGCAGTCCAAAGAGCTGCCCATGTACATGTATACCCCAGCACCCAGTTGGCAGCTACGTGGTCAAGGCAGGGTACACACTGATAATAATGCAAAGCAAAACATGTGGGATGTTGGGAGCAAAACTCTAAATCTCTCCTAACTATAACTGAAATGGTCCAAACTATGAGTCTTGAGCTGGACCATGACAAGGTGCAATTTCCTCAGCAATGGAGGCCCCTTTGGTCAGAACTGAACTTCGCTGGTTCACAGCTGTAACACAGAGTGCTAGTGTGTGCCACAGCATGTGGCATTTTCATTTTGATAAATCATGCTTGACAGAATCTATATGTATGGTGTTTGTAAAACGGTAAGATCACACTGAAATTGGACGATTCAGGACAGTTGACAACATGGGGGGTTATTTTTTATTTGTGTCATGGATGAAATGCCGGGTTGGCATATTTTGGGTGAATTCTGTCTATAGTCTAGCCAACCCAACTGTAGTGTTTAAGTGAACACCAACCTTCGCAACCTTCATTTCTTTTATCATATAACTTGGCACTTTTTAAAAATCATTTCTGTAGCGGACAGCAAGAGAAAATGTGAAATTCTCAACATTTTTTGGCAACTGAAGGGCCAGGTCTAAGTATACAGTTATCATGTACATGTAGGAGATATGTCCCAAAAGTGTGGATTGTCTCACACTGCATTCAACTGATACTACTGGATCAGACAATGAGGTCTGGGGAACAGGTCGACTCATACCTTGGACAATTCGTACCATCGACTCAACATTACTGTACCCACTCGTGCCTTTGCCAAGTCGCACCTTTAACAACTCGTACCTCCACTAAAGACAACTCGCATCTTCGCGTACGAGACAACTTGTACCTCCACAGAAATCAGAGCTGATTATTATTGTAATTAACTTGCATAATTTGATTACTTAGTCATGTGTTCTTCACCTAGTTTGCTGTTTTGGCTACACTGCCTTCCCTACAAGCTGAAACGCGTCAACGTCTCGACGTCATACATGTGCACGCGCGGTCAGGAAACTGAGGCTGGTAAACGTGGCCAGCCGTCGTTGCGTGCAATTCCGATTCTTCACCGTGCAGTCCACCATGATGATGGAGAGATGTCATGTTTTCATTTACTTCTAAGTTTATAAAGTAATGTCAGTTGTAACTTGTTCCCCCCCAAAAACAAATTTAAGAAACGAGACCAGATACATTTCCAAAAGAAATCAAGACATAACAAATTTTACAAAGTACACCCCCCAAAAAGTTACTAAACAAAGCCATCATTCCCCCACAAAATAAAAATGTCCAATAACATTTCCCCAGAGCTGTAAGAATATATCGACGTCCCCCTCTAAAAAAAGAATTTAGAGTTTAGTAAAGTTCCCTCCCCCAAAAAAGAATGTTAATAAGGAAGTCAAGTTGGTAGACAGTCAGGTTGTTCGACATTTGTCATGTAAACAGACGGTGCAAACCCCTGCGGCAGGTTCTATGGAGAAAATCATGCTAGCGCTTGAAATCTCTCCCAGAGATTTATGAAGTTTTTCCTTGATATGTTTGTCAAATCTGATCTTCAACATGCTGAAAAATGAAGAGCAAGAAAGTTACAACGGAATTGATAACATGAAGGTACGAGTGATCTTAATTCGAGGTACAAGTTGTCCGAGGTTCGAGTTGCCCAAGGTTCGAGTTGCCCATGGTACAGAGTTGTCCAAAGTACGAGTCATCCAAGGTACGAGTAGCCCAAGGTACAAGTTGACTCGAAAGCGAGGTCTAGACTGACTGGAGGATTTCTCAGAAAAATATATACCCAAACTCAGGCCCTAGTTTTGATTTTCTACATGTGAGCAATAGGATTTGAATTACTCGAGCACATCTATGGCACTAGTACAGGCACGAAATCTTCATTAACCCTAGCCCTCCAGCCTACTTTGGCTAGAAACCCTGCCAGACACCTCAGTCTGCATCATTTGCCAAAGTGGCTTGCCTGCCCAGTGTAACAAGATCCACCAGTTCTACTCTCCCCAAGGCCAAACAGCCTGGGGGTCTGTGGTTGCCAGTTACCACACTATCCAACAGTGGCATTGTTCAATAGGACTAGCTGCCATTGTCTCAACATAGCCAGTGTGTGCCACTGCTGTTGATTGCCAAGTGCATCAAAGTGCATCAAACTTTTCACTTGGTGCACTGTGCTGCATCTGGCAGGGTTAGGGTTAAGAGCTCGAATATGTTCAAAGGCACAAAGGTGTCGATGGAGCTTTATTTCCAAGAATTTTATACTGTACATAAAACACTGAGTGAAAGCAAGTAGGTCAGAAATGCTTAGAAGAATTGACCAACAAACCAGACATGAATGAGAACTGTCGACTGATTAACATTCATTGGCCAATGTGTAGGCCTAGACACGATCTGACATTAGCAGATTGGCCTTTTGGAAGCATGCCATGGCAGAGGGGGCTCATATTTGGTTTGGCAATGTTTGGGTAAAATCTTTTGTGTTTGTTCCAAATTTACTTCAAGTAGCACCCTCCTACTGTGTCCGCCATGCTTCTGAAAGGCTAGTACTGGCAAACCATGACAAGAAAACAGTCATCTTAGAGGTAGGCTAGGCGAACACAGACTCTGACAATGTCTGACAAACCCAACATGAGCAAAACGCCTACCATGCCTACTTCACCTCAACTAGCAAAGCAAAACAACTAGCCTCTTTCAAATTCTAAATGCACCCTACACTGGAACACACTTAGAATAAACAGTCTTACGAAATAACAAGCAAGGGAGCGACTCCCATTTACAAATGTGCAAAACATGTTATCAACGTAGCCAGACCTAGATGCGATGATTCTCATTGCTTTACACCAATGCAATGATAATGCAAGCGAATTTGCAGACAACTTTTGCCGTTCAAGTGAGACCTAACACGAAAGGTCAAATATAGCAAAAAGTAATATACATGACTTTTCATAAATCACACTAAATCATTCCGTTGAAAAAAAGCCACATTTCCTCACCGAAGTGGTCGAAAACTTTAAAAAAGTTTTTTGCTTCGATGGAACGACGACATCGGAATACAGGAAGAGACATTGACCATGCAGATTAGGGCGTGAAACCCGTACGATGATGACATCGCTTCTGTCAAATCTCGTGGTAAAGTCTCGATGGTGATGAAAAAACTCGCGAATTCTGTTTGGGCGCAAAGGTCAAAGAATTCCAGCACGTACAAAAATGTAGTAAAATATTATTTGAAAGATGATAATTATTAAGTAAAAAAACACTTTAAAATAGACTTATATTTACTTTTATTTATAAAATAAATTTAAATAAGTCGAATAAATTTTAAATAAACTAAAACTATACAGAAAACATTACGAAATAATAGTAAACTATCACAAACGGTTGCTATGTAAACAATATTGATATGCATTGTAAAGATCAATGGTAAACAACTACACATGCTGCACAACTAACGAGTATCAGTCTTGAGTCGAGTGTTCACAAGCTGGCAAAAAAGACACGTTGAGCGAAACTTTCGTCAAGTAGGTCTTACTGCTTAGCCTTAGGAAGTGTTTTACACCACGGGTAACACTGCTGACTACATTTTTGGGGATAGTGCACCGTTTGTCGGCGTTAGCAAGTAATTAATTTCGTGAGTTCGGCCTACACCGTTAATTCAACCGTGCAGTTTACAATGGAAAATAGAACAGGCCCAGCTGGTGAAGGAAGTACAGCTGTGATGGAGGATTCTGCACCCAACCCCTTGAACACGCAGCGGTCAAGATCAGCGCCTAGCACAAGGCAGGCATCACAGCCAACAATAGGGAGCAACAGCGGCAAGTTTAAGGACAGAAACCCAGACATGACTGCAGTGAGTTTCACAGGCCTAGCCCCAGGCAAATGTTGGACGTAGGCCTACTCTGGTAGGCCTACCTGGGACAACTCGTACCTGGGACAACTTGTACCTGGGACATCTTGTACCTGGGACAATTCGTACCTGAAACATCTCGTACCCTGGACAACTCATACCTGGGACAAAGTTTAAACCCAAGTTTAGAGAAAATTGCATTTTATCATAGCTTCTGGCAACATTATGTTAGAATTGTAGCCTGGTAGCATGGCATATCAAATGCAGTTTTTGATTGCTGATAATGCAGCCGTCTGTTTTGTGTGTAATTGGATAACTAAGCCTTTTTTGAAAGTGTTCCTGGTAAAAATAAGAATTAATTGAGAATGAAAACAAAACATGGAAAAGCATTTCACGTAATTTTCTCATTTTTTTAAAATATAGGTCCCTCTGAAAAAAGCCATCTGTTTTGAGCAGGCAAATTAGTTTCAGACATTGAATCAATCTCTTTTGGGATTATTTGTGGCTCTGAAAAGAGCCGGTGGCTCTGAAAAGAGTTGTTTGGTTTATTCAGGACATGGGCCCAGTCAGGTACTCGCAGGCCACCAGAAACCTTGAAGTTTTGATCTCCAAAACCCGGTAGCGGTCCCACATTAGAAAGAGGTGCCTCTGGAAAGTTCAGACTTGTCTTCGCTGGTGATGCTGCATCTTGGCTTCCTTGATGAGCTTCATATGGAGCTTGACCAGTTTAATTTTTTCCTATTATTTCTACCCTCCCGAGGCTCCACTACAGTCTCCATGTAGAAATAAATCACACAATGACACACCCTTCAATAAACATGTTTTTTCAAAAGCATCCAAAGTTTATTCCTAAAATCAATCTATAAGAGATAGCGTCTTTGAATGGGATAGAGCCAGCACTTCTCATCCATTATCTGGAACTTGGAAGCAAAATGCATTTTTCTTCCAGGTACAAATTGTCTGGGTACAAAGTGTCCCAGCTACAAAGTGTCCCGGGTACAAGTTGTCCCAGATGTGAAATTATGCGTATGAGTTGTCCCGGGTACAACATGTCCCGATACTGGCCTAGGCTACATGATGATAATTGTTACTTAGTCTTAGTCTAACATAGGCCTGCTGACTGTTTGATTATTGTAAATGATCAGGGCCCAATTTCATGGCGCTGCTTACTGCAAGCGAAAAATCTGCGCTTACCATAACAGAAAATTCTGTACCTATGGCGAACGTATTTTGTGGTTAGCGAGAAATTTTGGCTTGAGCACAAGCGTACATCCCGCAAAGAACTCTGTGCTAAAGGGTAAGCACACAATTTTTTGCTGGCGCAGTTTGGGCAGAATGGAGATCGTAAACGTGGAATTTTGTGGTAAGCAGCACCATGAAATTGGGCCCAGATATGCACGAACATTTTATTCGGTTTCATTCAGAAGCTTTGGTATGTTTAACTTAATGTTAATTTAGTTAATTTAAGAAGATATTTCATCACTAATAGTGTTTGTTGTAACTTAATTTCCAGGCTGGAAAATTAATCACAATGGAAGGAGAAACAACGAGAGATTGTCTTGATATAGAACGGGTATGTACGTGTACATTTGAAGTTTGAGTCCATAAGTTCTAAAGCAATGAATGGTGTGTTATTTGTAACATGTGAATTGCAAAAAGTGCTTTCAGTTAATCAGTCACATTTTTTCTGTGAAGTTTTGTTTCCTCTTTTCAATCATGTTAAAGTGTTATAAATTTGACTTCTTGAGGCTTGATAATAAAACCAACAAAAATTAAGCTGAAAAGTAATTTTTGGATCAAAATGATGTGGAGCATACACATACATGTAGTTTGGTTAAAAAAATAAAAGAATTATAAAAATGAATTGGAATAAGTTATGAAAAAATGAAGAAATTTCTATTTGAACTCTGGAGAAAAATTTGACCTGTTAGATTTTCGTTTTTAGGTGCAAACCCCTGATCAAGTGAAGAAATTCCGAAACTTCACCCAGCCTGAGCCACAAGTCAGACGGGTCTTCTATGGCAAGGCGCTGGACCCAGACGTGGCCTCAACCGTCAACCACGGAGTCAAAACGAAAGCATCTCTCTTTGTAAGTTCATAGCCATGGTCCAGTGTCTAGGAGTTGCTAAGTATGAGATATGGCTTTGCAAATTCACATGCTTGCCAAAGACGTCAACAAGCAGCAGCAAATACTATCAGTGTCAACAGAGTACCAACAAAGTACCAACAGAGTACCAACCGAATACCAACAGAGTACCAACAAAGTACCAACAGAATTACAACAAAGTACCAACAGAGTACCAACCGAATACCAACAGAGTACCAACAAAGTACCAACAGAATTACAACAGAGTACCAACAAAGTACCAACAGCCTGATGATATGCAGTTCCCGAAAGCTTCAAAAGAAGTATTGTCATGCATGGAACACTCTCGCATCCCTACCATTACTATTATTATTATTAAAAGGTTCAATTCACATTCAGATTCCCACAAAATTTATTTTTTGCTGCTGCCAACAACTGTACCGTAATTCACACCTGGAACTAAAGGGGCAAAAATAATGTTGTCTGTGGGGAACATCTGAATTATTGACCAAACCCTTAACCTTTACACCAAGGATGCCTGAAATTTCACTATTTATGCACTATATATATATCTCTCTCCCACACTTTACCGAAAAGGTTTCAGTTATTTTTGTTACGTTGCAGCAAATTAAGAGGGAAACAAACAAATCTCTGTACAAAGTGAAGGCAGAGTTGCCCCTTTGCCCAGATGTGAATGTGATAAATGGAACAGCCTCCGATCATGAGAATGACAGCACAGACAATAAACTCGCAGGAACAATTCACAGACTAGAACCTTGAGTGCAGAAAAATAACATGCACGACAAACAAAACAAAATTTTGCCCACTTCACTCTTCAACTGACAAAATTCTCCAACATGTATGGAACAAAGAAAGTTCAAAGAGAGATCTTTCATTTTTGTTGTCTGTTTCTCTTCAAACTTGTAAACCAAGCCTTCACTCACATTGACTTAATCTCTTTGTCATTTCATAGGCTGGTGACCTGATCAACCCAGACCCAAAGTCAAGATTCACGCAGAGACTGGAAGATAAGAAGGAGTCATCCCTCTACCTCAGCAAACAGAAGGCGCCGCTTGGCACATCACATGACCAGCGCAAGGGCTTACCCAAAGGAATGGACAAATATCAGGAGACCTTCGGTGTCAAGAACGTGTTTGGTGAGCGTCTGAACATGGTTGTTTTGATCAAAATACCCCCAATACTAGCTATGCTTTTACCAGTATGCGCACCATTGTCTACCTAATGGATCAGTTTTGAGGACTGGATAAGCAAAATTGGTTAGCCCAAATAAATTAGCTTAAGGAAAAGCTGGCTCCCAGCTGATTTGTCTCATAAACCTGGAATTTTGGAAAAACTGCATTCACAGCATCATGGAGGGTAACATTGATGAAACAACTTTGATTAAAGAAGTTTCTCCACTCCTTGTTCGCAGATGTGACGGCTGGTGAACTGGTCAGCCCCACCAAGACCTACCAACAGGTCATGGAGGAGAGCGAGAAGGGTCGCGACCTCTACAAACTGACCCACCACGAGTTCCTGGTTGGAGAGGCAGTGGACCGCAACTATGACTGGAGCCGCTACCCCAAGGAGGGCATGTTTGGCATCGCCACACCCCACGACAATGACGGCAAGCACGTCGCCAATACACTGAAGTGGCTCAGAAATGATCAACTGTAAGTGAACAGATGCCAGATATGCGTTGTGTAGCTGCCAGTGATATCCCAATTGTCACAATTGACATGGTGAAATAGACATGATTTAGGAAAACTCAAAACTTTAAAACATTTACACCAACTTAAGTTGGTATTCCTTGGGTTTGGACTGTCCCCTTCTGATTAAATTTGCCTACACAATAAAAATGATTTGTGGCTGCAGTGTTACAGAAAATACTCAAGGTATATCTCAAATCAAGGAAATATAAAATGCAACCATACCGGTTTTGCAGTTGTAATCATAATAACCTTTGTATTTGTTTTAAATCCTAAAAATATAAATCAGAGTATTTTATGATTTCAAAAGGGTGTACTCAAGCTGTGATATTTATTCTTTCAATAAATTTCTTGACGACTCATTTGATTTCACAGTGACAAAGGCACCAAAGTGGTGTCCAAGCGGGTGGACGACTTTCGCGAGCGCACCCAGCCCCAGCTGGGCCTGGTGCATGACCCCATCAAGGACACGCTGCACGTTCCCCCCGACCACTCCTTTGGGGTGCTGATCAAGCCCGACGAGTTTGGTGCAGGGGACCTGATGCATGGCCGGTCGCAGGAGAGCTACCTGCGGGGCAAGGACCGGGACCGGGGCCTGCTGGCTGCTGTCCGCCAACAGCTTAAGAAGGCCAACTACCACAATTTCAATGATTTGCAGGCAGCCTTCAATCACTACGATAAGGTAAGCACCAGCAAATCCTGCCAAAAGCTTGGAAGTATTCAGGATTATGTATGCAGGCCCTCAGTATCCCTTGGGTCACTGCAGGTGTTTTTGAAAATGTAGCTGTAAATAAATGATTTTGAAACTTGGTGCTTAAAAAAGAAAGGTCAACTCTCCTGCTTCTCGCAATGAATTGTTATGGGGAGAGAATCAACAACTCACTGCAGAATTTCATTCACATTAGTGTTTTTCTTCCAGTGTTGGTTGGCCAGGTCATATAACGGCAGGGCCTCCCAATAAAATCAATGAATAGATTGCAGAAAGTGGAATTATTTCATTGATTGTCAGTGTACATGGAACTGAATGTGTAAACAAGCTTCCCTTGTTCCTAAAAGATGACTTATAACTTTGCCGTCTGGATTATTTCGATACCGTTTGGTTCTGTAGAATAGTGACGGCAAGATTGACATTCAAGAGCTGCGGTCCTGCTGCAGCCAGTTTAGCCTCCCCATAGAGCCTGAGCTCCTGGAGCAGCTGATCGACTACTGCGACAGCAACCAGGATGGCTACATTGACCACACCGAGTTTGCCAACTTCCTGAACTGGAAGGACAAGATGCAGCAGGGGTCGGAGCGGCCGGAGCAAGGGGCTGAGGATGTGGAGAGGCTCAAGAAGCAGATTGACCGGTCCATTGGGGAGCACCGCACCTCTGCGTCCATGATCAATGCCGTGGTGGGAGGGGTGTCCACAAGAGGTGAGAGCAAGGCCCAGTTGCACAGCATTGCTTGACAGTTGGCTGCAAAGTTGTGCTTACTGTAGTGAAAAACCGTACCATTTGAGCACCATTTCGTGGCATAGATGGAGATTTGTATCACTACATTACTCATTTATGCCACTTCCTTGGTGATGAAGCATCCGTTGACTCTCCTTACTGCTTAAAACAGTCTCTGTGAAATAGCCCTTATGCGTATGATGTCACATTAGAGGGTATTTCTGCTTGTTCTGAAATACACTCGAGCAACGCATAACCCGTGTAGACAAAGGCTTTGTTGTCACAACATTCGCTCATAAGCGGTGCTAAATAATCCTGGAGCCTAACAGCCAAGAATGGAATCGAGGAAAACAGCTTTTGGTGCATCTTTGGTCCTACTTCGGTACTCAGCGTGATAAACATTGGGAAATGTATCCTTACTCTGTTTTTAAATAAGTTTTTATTGTAGTTTTTGGGAAGAAGGGTAGCAGTCAGTCACAAAACTAGCAATGATGTCATACACATGTATAGTGTCATTGCATCTGAGTGCAAATCTTAGCAACTAGAAAAACTTGACAAAGTGAAAATAAGAACAACCAATCAATCTTGAACATCTTAACTTGTTTTTCACCGGCAGATTACAGAACATATGGAATTCCAACAATTCGTAGCGACCTCGCTGCCCCAAAGATCAAAAGGATCAGCGACAACAAGAACTATGGGGACGAGTCGGACGCCTTTGGGTTGATCAACCCTTCTATCTACAGCAACAGGGGGGTTTACGAGAAGGACTTCTTCAAATCAAGGCCCCAATCACAGGTCAGTGCTATTTAACTTCATGAAAAGCTTGTTTAAATGGAATGAACACAAATGGAATACGTGTATATAGGTGTACAAACTGTGTAAAGCCTGCAGTGTTTGAGATGTTGGAATAGTGATTGCAAAATGCACAGTTTGTGTCCATAGCACCTGATTGCTAGCACTGGCATTGAGTTTGCATCTCAAGCAAGAAATGTTAATGATGCCTCTTGTCTGATGATGCAGCGGTCCTCGAGTACACCAGCGGTTTTTGCATCGCAAGTTGGGATTGAAATCGGTTGTCAAGTGGCTGTCTACCCAAAAATTGTGGGCAAATACACCCACTGCGCAAGCACGTGATTAATCAGCATAGTTTAACCTGGTTCATCTGTCTGATCATTGGAGAGATGGTCTGCACTAGTTGGATTACAAACAAAATCTTCAAATGAAATGTCTCCTCCGTTTGTGTTGCGGTCTGGGTCTTCAGGCTTCATGAGTCAGTATTGGAACCAGTCTGTGTGGTTTGGGATGGGTTGCAAATGTGGCCCAATATTTTCAAGGGAACTGATTTTCAGATTTTAGGTGTTACTCGTTCTTACATCTGACCTAACTGGCATTTTCTCACTCCCTCTTTTCGTTTGTTTAGATCAAGGATATATTCACGTCTGTTGGGGTCCAGATGGACAACGACACATTCCAGAAGCTGTGGGAGGTTGCATCATCAAGGGCGGACAACGGTCAGGTCAGCGTGGAGAGTTTCCGCAGCGTGTTAGACGAGGTACAAGCCATCCAGTGTGCAGAGTCCTCATAGCGCCTCCCAGGTTAGGCTGTATTGTGCCGCTCTCAGAGCAAATGGACTTCACTTTCTGTCAGTATTTCAATTGTTTCCAGTCTTCGTTTCCCTAAGATGTCCAAGATCAGGCTGCACAGCTTGAGTTTCCACACCTCGGTTAAGTCGTTCACCTTGGTATCCTTTGGTCAGTGTATCCTAGGCAGTATGCCTGTGTATTCAGTGTATGTGAGAACTTGTGGTAAACTGTTGATCAGAGGACAGCAAGGGCTTAGGTGTATTTGTCCTTGTATCAGTGGGGGATCTTCAAGCAGATTTGTATGCCAAATTCATTTTTTTGAATCCTGTCTTTCTGAGGGGTTACGATAGATTTCAAATATTATAGAGCAATATTCCTTTCAGATTTTTTGGTGTACTTATGATCCTTTAAAGGCCATAAGAAATAGAAAAATCATAGGTATAAGGATGTGTGCCCTGTTGTGCAAGAACTGGAATGCTATTGCATATTCATAACATTAAATATACAGAGTTAAAAGTGTTAAGTACAATAGAAGAAGTTTAGTGGATTGGGCAGCCTCCCACAAAATATCTAGGGAGGGTCTAACCTTTCTGTGAACACACTCTCCTAGTTCCACTTTCAAAGGATAAAAATATGTACACCAAACAGAAACTGATCTGCTTTTTTTATACGTTGTTTTCATTTATTTGTTAAACAAGTTTTGTCTTCCTTGCATATATGAAAAATATATGATCTGGAATGATCAAAGTGAGCCCAAAAAATTAACAATGTTACAATTCCATTTACAAGCATAATGTACTTCTGATTGGATGAGATTAGCATCCATTTCCAAACACATTCAGCCAGTTATAGTCTCAGTATTCTCGGTCTATGCTGACGTCAGTAAAATTAAAATTTGCAGGTTAAATGCATCAGTAGCCCAAACCCAAATGTGAATCACGTAGAATCTTGTTGGATTGGCATGGCAATGGGGTGAGGCATTTCTCGTCAGAACACATGGCCCCAAATTTTGTCTGGTTAGTAGAAATGCTGTGTAAAATTACCCATTCATTGCACTGCTATAGTAGTGATGTGGTGGAGTGAACTTGCAGTCACTAGCAGTTTCACCTGGGACAGTATCTCGCTGGATGCAAACCCATCTTAAATAAATACATTTGATTTCAAACATTACAGGTTAGGATAAATGACCATCTCCAATCATAGCTACCAATTTCAGAGTTGGTATTTGGAAACGAGTCTGGTCTTTTAAAACATATATATCACTACCAATACAGTCACCTTCACAAAAATGGGGTGTTGCATCACATTTAATTAGCAATATACGAGGGCTATTTGTGCACATACATGTACAAGCTTTCATAATATTCTGTAGCGAGTAATCTACTGAATATAACCATCACAGTAAGATTTAAATGTGTTAACCACTTGTTGCTGAGTGGATTTTTCTTAAATAAGACAAGATGCCGGGTCCTTTTCAATATTTTCCGTTTTCAAAATTCTTCAGAAATTCATCCTTTCATTTAATGGCTGTTTATACCTACGTGAAGGACTCTTTGGGCACTACTCTAAAGTTGACAGTTAACGTTCATTGACTTTTGAATATTTCAGCCAGGCCTGCAGCCTTGGAAAAAGAGCCCAGATTGTGCGGTGGATTATTGAGTGATACTATTCTCCAAATCCACATTTCATCTCATCGCCGACAGTCCCCAAATCCTCCAATTTCAATATAATTTTACGTACACCCAAGGGGGTTAGGGTTAATAGGTGCCACTGTACCCTCTCACTTGCAATTCTGAACATGCTCAGTGAAGTTTACTACAGGTACATATATACATGTTTATCCGTCCTGTAAGTCATTATTTGTTAGCAGGTTAGTCTTAATTCCAGTGGCAGCTTATTAAACAGGAAGCAAGTACAGTTTGGGCAAAGAACGTTATTAAGTAATATTTCAAGTTTAAAATGTATATAAAACTCAATTTTTGTACATATTTGTTTTATATAACAAAATCATTTAAATTATACGTTATTTCAATTTATGTTTAAAATTTTCGGCCTTAGAGACAAACACAGTTGCAGGTTTTGTGAAAACACTGGCATTTTATAGAGTTGACATTACTGATAGAAAATTATGTATTCCCGTGATGCAGCTTTTCGTGATTGTTCATGTCGATTTGCTATGTACATGTATATATAAATACTACCGTATTCCATCCATAATTGTCAATCTCATCAACAACCAAACAACCATAGCAATTTTCCAATTCATTTTGTACATATTTCCAGCAGAGTGTCTTTTAATACGCGTTTAGTGCTGTGTATGGCAATAATAAATTTACAAAGAAAAAAAACACTACAGCATCATAGGTGTGGTAATTTTATGTAAATACGTCTTCTAAAGAGCATCACTATCACTAGAAGAGTGAAAGTTTTCTCTGATACTGCAATACATTTTTTTGATTGTACCCAGCCCTCAGTTGTGTTTCCCGCTGACGCCTTTTGATCATTTTGACGTCAGTTTTACGGAAATCGGACATGCTGTTCTCACAAAATGCCCGTTTTCTTTGGTTGGCCAAAACGTTAACTCTTTCCCTTGGTGTAAATGACTGTACAAACAAACCCTTACGTCAGATTGAATGCAGACTGCACAGCTGCACTTACATGTACATTAGATGCCCTTCATATGCATGCTAAGTTTCAAAAAGAGCAGTGATAATGCATCCAAGTTCTGGGGGGAGGGGCATCAGTGCTGTACGGAGAACATTAAAATAAGGAGCCACTGGCTCCTAGAAAAAAAAGTTAGGCGCCAGGTTGATTTTTGTACATGCTGTGCATACATTTGAAAATACACAAGTTAGGCCTACAATGTACAAAATCTGACAAAACACATAGAAACATTATTGTGTCAGTTACCTGCAGGGCAGACAGGCTTTGGATTTTGTGCTTGTGGAATCAATCAAAAATGGCACCCAAATTATATGAAAAAAAAGCTGAAAGAAAAGACAAGGCATGTTTGTTCTCTTACATTCGAGCATTTCGTACCTGGGACCAGCCGGAATGTGCATAGACCGCATGTGCATCTAATGAATACGCACGTCTCAGCTCCCCATACACACTCTATACAGCGTGCGACCACAAACCAGTCGACTTGGGTACCTAGTACCTGTACGTGCGTGCATGTACCTACATGTAGCTACACTGTAGTTAATGTGGGCTGATGCTGTGTACATAGTAAGACAGAGGAAAATCGCATGATCACATAAAGACACATCGCTCAATGCATGTAGAAGAAAACTAGGCAGCAATCGTACGTCAAATATGACTGACAAGGACAAATCAGGACAAGGACTAACAGGCACAAATAATCATATGCAGCAAGGTATGAGACGGAGAGAACCCCCCCTGCTTTGTGTTGGTCATTGTCTCGCAGGAATCTGGGGAATTCCTTTCAGACAGCATGGGGGGATGTGTTAAGTAACAATAGTCTGGAATGTGTATAGGGATTGGACATGTTGGGGCGGTACCCCTCGGTCTCATTTCTTGCTGGGTATACAAATCATGGTCGCCAATGGTGATAAGAATTAAACATTCGGTTGCACATTGTCATATTTTAGGTGCAAATGCGACTGACTTCGTCCCACGCTGGGGGGCATTACCCCTCAGCTGGAGAAGGTCCACAAAGAAACTGACTCTGCCCGGGTTCAAGATAAACTAATGGTTTGATGTTTCCTTGTTTCTTTTAAATAAATCAACTTAATGTAAAACGGAAGAGAATTAAAGGTGTACCATCATAACCTCCCTGGAAAACTCTTCCAGCATTACTTCAGGGGTGAGATTGACCAATGATAACAATAGCTGAAAACAGCTGAAAAAAGGCATAAAGAAACTGAACTGTGAAAATCTTCTATACTTTTGTACACAGCCAGTGAGGAAAAACAGCTGAAATCCAGAACAAAAAAAAGCTGAAATCGGCTTAAAAGCTGACAAATCTCACCCCTGTTACTTCTGCCTGTATCATCACCATGTCATGAAAACTGAACTCGCACTGCCGACACAAATCAAAACTCTTGCCCAAGACGGGTCCAGCGATCCGGCACAAGGAGGAAGTACTTGTCCATGGCCTCACAGAAACGGGTACGGTAGAGCTCGGGTGACACCACCGTCGGCATTTTACCTGAAAGATTCCACTAAAAATTGTAGCACTGAAGAAGCATTTCACTTCTTTCCAGTGAAATGTCCAAATGCTAATTCAACTAAAGCTCCAATTTTTGTTCGCCGAAAAAGTGAGCTCAATAGTCATAATAAGGCGCAAAATGGAGAACTTCACCGTGAATTTGTGTAAAACGCTATTATCACATGAGCACCATTTGGGTAGGAATACGCAATGTCAATGCAACAGGTGCGGGTGCCGGGACAGGCACGCATGCCTAGTATGCCTTTCCCTATGCATTTACGTTCACACTCGAACGGCGCCCATGGTGATAACACCTTTTTAGCTGAGTTCTCCATCTTAGCGGCACTATACAATCTTTGGCCCTGTTCCTATTTAGCATGCTCTGTTTAGAACATACTGTGTGCCAGGGCGCTATTTCATGGTGCTGCTAAGCACACAATTTTATGGTAACAGAAGCTCAGCGTATTTCCTGGAGACTAGCAGTCAGCACAGCAAAAGGCAAGTTTACCAAATCCCCACATGCACATAACTGTTGGCACAACCACACCATGAAATGGTGCTTTGGTCAGCAAATTTTTCCGCTACAGTAAGCGTTACTTTTCTGCAAACTGGTAAGCAGTGACATTGGGCCCCAGGGAAAAAAAGGAGTATTTCCGGAGTTAATTTCCAACTTAAGCCAGCAATCCCCTCAAAACCATCAGGCAAGTTCACAGATTCTCATAGCAGAAACATCTGGCGATCCAGGGCCAGATTACAAACATAGAGCAGGCAGTATTCCTGAAGGAAATCTTGTGCAATTGCAAGGTACGTCAAGAGACTCCACTGACAAATGATTCATGCATGGACTGCTGCACTACTCTTAGCTGAGGTTTTGAACTTTCGGTCAAGTCTACTGACCCCAGAAAGACTGAGCAGAGAGTCCAAGTTCCACTCTATCTACCTTGTGATGTTTGTTCTTGAAAGCATCGCTGAATTGACAATACTTTTGACTGAAAATTACATCAGTGAAGGGTGAAACTGGGCACTGGAACGCTAGCCCCAGAGCAATCATTTGTTTCCCCTGAAGAAGATTACCTTGTCCTCCCACAATGCCTGTTGATTTCACCATCATCTCCAGCTTCTTGTCCCAGGTGAATGTGCGGATGTAGTCTGAAAACACAGATGTAATCAGACAAATTCATCACCAAATCTCTTAGCTTATTAGTACTGAAAATGGTGGATTTAGGCACAAACAGTGTTCTGCACCTACCCTGAGATATTGTTTAAAACGCTACTATTTGATAAGCTGTTTGAAGAGCCCGCATTTGTGGCCCACTCACCGATGATGCCAACCACGAGTTCATCAGTGTTTGCGTCCAGACCCACCAGCAAGGAGTAGTCCATGATGAAGTGACTGGCAAGGAACATGCTGTCATAGTGGACGGCCATGATTAGGGCTGCCTTACTGTGGCTCCGCACAAAGAGAGGCGAGTCCACCATATCTACATAGCAAAAGACGGAAACAGTGAATGTGCATTATATCTGTCTCAATGATACTATGGAGGCACAGAAGGGCCATGACTAATGAAGATATCCCACATTGCTGTCTCAGTATAGTGAGTTTCTAGCAAGGGTGAGTTACCATCTCGGTGCCGAGAGTTATTTCTATTTAAACTTGGATCAAAAATGGCCTGCTACAACTCACCGACTCACATCAGCCATGAGGCACTAACTTGCCGTGGTGAGTTAAATGTTTGCTACCATGAGTTTCTATCTCACTTCTTTCAAAGCCTGTTCTCACACATCATACGTACAATACATACAACAAAACAAGGATAGCAATGTAACAAAATATCCAAGAGAGATCTGTGATAAACTTGAAAGGCCCCATATCATAAATGCATTTTCAGCATGCCTCATGTCCATATGCATAAGTTGCAGAGAGTTTTCATTGAAATTGTTTAGTGAAATGCAGTACATGGATGTGGGTGGCTTAGACCTCCAAGTGCAATGAAAATCACACCGAATCTTCTTCAGTTTGGTACGGCTAGAGTTCCTTCGAAAGGTTAGCTTTGAAGCCTCCGAATCATTTTCCCAAAGCGGCTACCAATGACAGAACTTGTCAGAGCAGCAACAGAGTTTGTCAGGCCAGACTCACGTCTCAGCAGGTTCTCGTCCATCAGCACCAGGTCCTGCTGCCCCTGGCCCGTGGTCTTGACATGGCGATTGCGGATGGAGCCCTTCAGGTCAAAGACCTGGGCCATGCGACGCCGGTAGAACAGGTTCTCCATGATCAGCAGCACATGCTTCTGGGCTGTGTTGGTGACCGGGTTGTGGTAGCCCACCTTGTAGACCCCTAGGATCTTGGCCAAGGTGGTTGGCCGCTGTTAGAGGGAAGGGGGGAAGGGTGAAGTGTGTGAGGGACAGGTAATTTTGGAAATCAGGAAGTACAGAAACAATGATAATACATAAAGAGGGAATGACTTGACAATTTTAAAAGGTTCATGTTCTTTTAGAATAGGAGTTTAAGGTAAGACTTTTTTCTAATTTTGGTGTTTCCAATTCTGAAAAATGCAGAAGACCTTTCCAATGGTATATTAGCACTGTTATGCATAAGCACTAGACTTCAGCACTGGAAATACATGTACATGTCACAACTGTCATCTGAAGTTGAAACTTTTTCCTGTCACATTAAACTCAATGAGCTTTTGAAATGGGACAAAAAGAAATTTTGATATAGATGTACGTATAATGGAGAAAAGACAACTGGTTGAAGTGAAGCAAACTCCCAGGATGATGCTAATCAGAAAACAAATAATGGCTGACATCCCTTCAAAATGTGGCTTTGCATCACTGTACCCTGAAATGACCATTTCTGGCTTACTCCGTCATGACAGGTCGAGTATATGATGCGTACATCAGCATTGGCAGGTCGTTTTGCTTGAAGCTTTGTACAAGCATCCTGCTAAGCCAATAAATTACATCAACTACTGATGGAATGTTCACACCCCTCTTTGGTTTTTTTTAACTGAGGATGGCCAAGCTTGATTACGTTGGGCTAGAATTCTGTAACCAACTGTGCCTTTTCACCTGCTCTGCATGCGCTTGTTGGATGTACTTGAAATAATGTGGGGCAAACTCCTTGAAAGACTGGAACTCCAAACGAGATATCTGCTTCAGCACAAATCTGTCATCTGTGCAGAGACCAAGAAAACAAAACCACAAAGGATGAGTTATATTCAGAAACTAAAGGGGCTTATTTGCGACGGGGAAAATAGCTAATCCACGGACATACCATTGTGCCGGTACTATGCTAGCCAGAACTTTTAGTTGATTCTTCTTCCAAGTCCCAAAGTAAATTATATGTGAGGTGATCTGGCAAAATGAGACACAATTGGGCACAGGCAGGAAGTGGAGAATAAATGCAAAAACTCATTGAGGGGATAAATTTTTCTTTTCCAATTTTCAGAATCTTTGTCCGATTTTCTTTAGCAGTGCTGTTGACTTGAATCGCTGACTTGGACTCGAGTCGGACTTGGGTCACTATTTCTTTGCACTTGAAACTTGGGAGCGAGAGGCTAAAGACTTGAACAATTTGACCTGTTGACATTGCCAACTTTTGTTAAAATAAATTCAAGGAAACAGGTGCCCACAACTTTCAATGTGCCAAACCAAATTAAGCTTGTCTGTATTCCTTCATAGATATTTTATCATTAGAAATATCAGCATATTACATGTATGATGATAAAATAAGACAGACGGGTAAGGCATATTTTGCGAGACGTCACAGATAAAATCACTGCAGGTCAAAGTCTACCTTTTGTCTTGAGAAACTTTGAGCGTGATTTGCCACCCTGAGCAAGCCATGAGATGGAACGAGACAGTGATCGGATGTAGGTCTCCTCGCCGGCCGGGAAGACAATCTTTCTAAGATTCAAGAATTCTTCGGCGTGGTACACCAGGCAGAAGAACTGCGTGTTGGTAACATCCGAAAATTCTGAGAGAGGAAGACAACCAGTGTAAACAACACTCCCAACGTAAAAAAAAACCTACTTTGATGTCCAATATAGGATGTAAAAACCATGGGTCCAGTTTTGGGGGAAAGGGTCTCTCTAAACAGTCCTAGAACTTTTAGAAGACAGACCAGGTTAGAAACAGCCACGGTAGTATGGCAACCATTACGTAGTAAAATTTCTTCACTGGGTTGTATGAGCAAAACCTAGCATTTCCTATGAAGAAAAAGAGTAAATCAGAGCATAATCATACTTAACATCATAAAAGTTAAGGAAAAGAATCAGCTAAATTCCAAGTGTGAATAAAAATATTTTATGCTTTTTGATAATATAGTAAAAGCAAATGCTTATCATTTACCAACATGACCAACTGTGTTCCTACCAGCATTGGGTAAGACGGAAGGAATGTATAAGGATTCTTTGAGTGTGTGAGCGTACGCATATGCTTAAACAAGCCAGGCCCATCATGGCCTGTGCCATGCTTAGCAATACCACACTGCTCTGTCTGTATACAGCAATTGCACATTTGAACTTGTTTATGCATGTGCATTTGTATGCTGCACTAACCAGTATTGTTATCAGTTAGTTTCACAATGGCAGCTTACAAATATGAAACAAAATTACAACTTTGTATCAGCACCTCCCGGTTATGGCCAATGAAAACCAAGTTTTGGGCCTGACATCTTAAACCTGACTTTCTCAATTTCATCTTCACTTTTGTCCACTTCAGTTTGGATGTTCTGCAGACCCCATTGTTTATTACGACTCACGCAGTTCAATGTGCGGAGACAAGGGGTCCTTCTTCTCTGTTCCACTTCTGAGTGAAAATTCAAAGTCTGTCTCATCTGAAGAAAAGGAAGAGGGAGGAATTTGTCACAGACAAAGTGCTATAAAATGTGTCAATATTTCATGTTGACCCCCATCGCGGGGGAAAATTAAGTCATAATCACACTGGAATGCGATGGTACAGCAGCAATCCTTGTGTGGGTCACTCCTCCCAAGGCAATACTCCTAGATTAAAATTCAAGCTTATTTTCAGCATGTCCAAGTTGCGAGTGACCTTTTTGTCAAATTAACACTAAGGAATGCTACACACTTGAACACTTGAACACTTTGCTAAATAGCCTCATTATTGGGTATGATCCCACAGAGAAAATGATTAATTGATACAAAAATGACAGAATAGCAATAATAATAATAATAGCAATAAGACCAGAGGAAAGCATCACAAAGTGTAATGAGAGTAACAATGGAACTGCTGTGATAAATAATCAGCTTCAAAAAAGCGAGGATTCAAGGCCATATTTGTGAATAATTCTGCTTTACTTTGCATTATAAGGAGCACAGTGAGCTCTTCACTTAGTTTGCCCTCTCCAATGAAAAAAGTGAACATTTTGCAGGATTACTTTAAAGGGCTTTATCTCAACAGTTATCTCCGGCGATTTGAGTCATTTTGTCATGTTGGGTGACGTATGCACCAACCTTTGCTCTCGGTATAGCTGGACGAAGTGGATTCCTCTGAGCTGGTCACATGATACTGAACAGTGTCAGTGTAGGTGAACTGACTTTCGTCTTTTCGTTGGCTGCTCGGAATGGCACTGCTTGGACTGTCTGGCATTTTACTCCGAAGGAATGATATGACGCCTCGGCTTGCTTTTCCTGCGAGGAAATATACGGTCAGAGGTAAATACGAAAAAGGGTACACCAAACCAACGGAGAAATCGGGTCCATGTATGGCAAGTGAATTCATCAGTGTGTCTATCACGACATTCTTATCATAGGAAATGTCTTCAATAGTCCGCAGCTCTTTCACGTCACAACAAACCAATTGTTTTCTGTTTGGCAGGCTTCTCCCATGACAGGGTACTTTCATTATAAGTCAGTGCTAAAGTTGTGTCCAATAAAATGGCTGTGATCAGGATCATCACGTGTCTATGAGAAAGGACTGCAAAACCACAATGGCTTCCACAGGTGCACATCATTCCAGCCACAATCCATACCAAGGGACACAGCCTAAAGACAATCTGCAAAATTGGAGTCACAGACAGCATGTGAGGCCAAGTCAAAATTTAGAGTAGTTTCTCATTCCCACTAGGTTCCTTTTTCCTCATCTGCCCCGTTTATTTTTTTTCTTTCTTTTTGTAACATCTTTTCAGTTTTGTATTTATTAACATGTAAAAATAAATGCAAGTTAAAATGCCATGGGGATATGGCATGTTAATATGGGGATACGTTAAAATAAGATAGGGATTGAAGACTCTTAACTTCAGATACATAAGTATTGGCCATAGTGTCCTGAGATCTATTCAGCATCTTGGAAAAACTCCACTAGGTAAAAAGAAAAAGCCATCTCCTACACTTAAAAACAAACCCAGATGAGAAACTTTTTTTTCTTTACTTGGCCTTAAGACTCAACCTGAGTCTTGGGAATCTTGATGCCTACTTGTCATGGGAGGCTTCTTGGGCCGTTCCTTGCCCTCTGCTGCCCCCTGGCCATTGTCCAGCAACGAGCGCCGCTTGGCAGTGGGGCTGGTGTTCCTCGACTCTGGCTTGCTGCCGGGCTGCAGAGCACCCTCACTTGGCTGGGGATAATCAGGCTGCTGGAGCTCGTACAACTGTGTCTTGTATTGCTCGGAACTGTCGGAAAAAGTCATGTTTTTGTTTGTAATTTATTTCATCTGTAACGACTGCAGTGGGAACATACATGTACCTTAGGCTTTACACTGGCAGATTTACACTGGCAGATTTACACTGGCAGATTTACACTGGCAGATTTACACTGGCAGATTTTTCCAAAGCACTTGACCAATGTGCCCATGGAGTACCAAAGCATGACGTCATTATGGACGCAAAGTACTATAGTGCAAACGAAAGCAGTACACTCGCATGTTAATTCACATACTTGTTCTCGCACTAATGTCTTTAACACTTGTCCAGGACATATTGACTTCAGTATTTTTTATAAATCTGAGCATGTAAGCACCACACTAATTTTAGTATTGAGTGCGAATGTTACACACAAATTGTCAAGTGCACTTCACAATGATTAAAATTGGGTACGTTAAAATGGTGTCCACGAATCCACTGAAAGCTACCCCCAATTCTTGGATGTATTAATGCTAAACTTATATCAGAAATATAAAAACCAACATATAAGAAATCAGTGTGAAGTAAAATTCATTAGATTAATTACAGTGAAATGCATTACACATTGAAAGTGATCTGAAAGAGATGACTTAAATGGCTAAAACTGATGGCATTCCTTACAATTTGAACTGGCAACTTGTCCTGAAAAAACAGGGCCGCCTAAAGTAAGGCCTAATCAGAAAAGGAAGTTCTGTGATGGTTGGATGGTTGGATGATGACAGAGACACTCAAGAGGCCCCGATGTGATGTCAAAAGCACTGAACCAGTGCAATGCTACTATTTAGAAGTTGACGGCCCACTGAGAGGTGTTTTGAGCATCTTTAGCAGATACTAATTAGCCAGCTGACCACAAACCCGGAGATACAAGTACTCATACATGAAAAGCAGTTCTTGTACTCAGCTGGTAAAGTACTCGGACGTTCAGGTGCTCGGAAATTTAAGTACTCGGCAGCACTCTCTACTCGGAAAAAAGTACTCGACTACAACACTGGTAATTCAGAGGTCTACACTAGTGACCAGTGGCTCAAATTTCACACAAAAGAAGCCTGTGAAGTTGTTCTGTCTTCAAGAAATACCAGTCGACACTGAGCTCACGAGCTCACTGTGTTTGCAATGCTGAATCAAAGAAGGGTTAAAAAAATTGCCTGATCTGAAGAGTGCTTCATTACCTGAGTGCGTGTGCGATGATGGAGCTGGGCTCTTGGTCATATATGATGACGGGCATGACAGTGCATGGTGGCAACAGGTGGTGTTCGCTGGGAGGGCTGAACAGAAAATGGGGGGGGGAATAATTCAACATTATCACAAACCTGACTTGAGCAAAACAGAGCAGTAGCAATTATCAAGTTCAGATGGAAATTACCGGAAACTCTGTCGTGAAATCGACAGAGCGAGGCATAAGTTAACACTGGTTGGTGAGATGGCGGGACAAGAACCCTTTACTCAAGCACATTTTAATCATGTTTATATGAAGGTCTAAATCCAACTACAGAAGAGTGTCTTATTACCACCAGACGTGGGCGTTGCCAGGAAGGCAAAAATGCTCTTTCTGGGGGGAGGAGGCAGGGGCAAAGCACTCATCAGCCGCAAACTGAGAAATCATCAAGAGTGGAAGGGGGGGTCAAGTCGGAGGTATTTGCAAGTACATTGTGATTTTCATCCTTCTTTTCTCGTTTACTTCCCTTTTCCTTTCTTTATCTTTTGTATTCCCCCCCCTGGAAGACAAGCATCCCCACGGCCCTTCCCTCGCGACACTCACACTAGGGACTCATTCTAAGCTTGATCCTGAAAAATACCGCTTTAGAACGTGTCAGTGTGAATTCAAAATGCCTCTCGTCATTCAAAAAGACTCATTCTACATGTTCTACACAATTTCTATTTTATTCATTAAAAAGCAAAACTTCACTTCTAAAAAGAAAAAAAGGGTGCATGAGAACTTGTCCTTCTGTTCTGACATGATTCATTACAGATTTTATTTGCACATCCCACAATTTGTGAATTTGCCCGAGGTAAATGCATTTTAACTCAAATAAATAATGCAAACGTTCTGGAGACTCTCAGAGTTTAGTGTTGAGAGTGTAGGCTCCATTCATGAAATCCTTGATGGGAATAAAGTCTGTGATACACTGAGCATTGGCAATTTGTTTATGCAGTCTCTTCACTAGAGAGAAAAAAGACAAGTAACTCCGAAGAAAAAAAAAGAAACAATAAGAAAACAAGAGTCCAGCTAACTCACTACGGCATCTCTACACGTGCTAAATCACTGCCTGGTAACAGTGTGCTGAAGAAAGTCTTCACGGAGCTGTTGGTCTGCTTGGCTTTGAGAGGGCTGTGCTGGTGGGCTTCACCTTTTGTGGACATTGTCACATCTGCCTGGTCTGTACCTGTGTGTTGGAAGCGAGACCAATGCTGAAAAGCTTCCACATCATTGGGACGTTTCCGGGAAAACTGCCCAAGGGAGTTCAGGTCAACTTGCAAACTTTACCCGACCAAACATAATGATCTGCAGGCCGCAAGAGCCACTTTTAAGTTCAAGAATTTAATTTGGCTTAAATGAATTTAGCCAGTGTTTGCATCCCACAATGTATGAAATTTTGCTCCTTTTATAGTAGATAATGTCACAAATTCTTGCATTCGTGGCATTGTGATTACAAAAAATTTGTAAGTCAGCTGATATGTATTTTTTTCTAAAATTGGGTTTTCAGCTTAAATTACCTTGGAAAAAGGGCAGTAACAACCCTCAGAATATAATTTTGAATTCAATATCATTATATTTTTAAGGTGTACCCACCCTCTGGTAAAATAACAGTCTTTTCTTCACCTTCTTTGTTTTCTACTGCTTCCGTTGCAGAGTCTGGTTGAGCAATATTCTCTGGTAAAACCCAAATAAAGTAAAAGAAGTAGTTGAAAAGAGATCAAAATCTCTCTTCAAATCCAATATTGCAGTTCCCATCCTGTTTGAAGAATGCCATGTTTATCCGTACTATCAACCATGCAAAGTGCTGATCAAAACAATACTGCAGCCAAAGTTTGGTGCCATTATGTGGATATATATGGGGAAAAAACCAATGAGACTGCTGGTGACAACCATCTCAGCCACAAGCTGCACATAATCATTCCTCTCCACTCACAGACTCCAATATATCCCTGTCCTGCTAAGTCAGAAATTATACCAAAAATCTAAATTCACCTGCACAGTGTCGCCTGTTATTACACTCAAACAGGGCCATTTAGGCTGTTTTTAAAAGAAATTCTGAGGTAATCTGTCCTGCTTCATAAAAAGGTGACCTCCTGACTACAACGAACCAAACCAAAATAATAGTTTTCATTTTCTTCTAAATAGACCTGGCTTTTTGTCTTCCAGGGATGGCATCTCAACGATGGTTAGATCGTTATCGGGGCTGGCGTCGTCGGTCGTCTCAGTCTGGGACTTGTAGGCCAGACCAGCATATAGACCCGGCGATATCCCATAATTGGGCATTTTTTGGATACCGAGGCAGTCAAGGTAGGCTAGGGATGGTGGAATGGTGGTGACTGTGACGAATGGGAGAGAAAGAACAGGAAAAACACAACAACAGCAATAGAGACAGTGCTTATTAAGGGGTGAGTGCCACCTCAGTCCATTATCCATTGAACAAAGAAAGTGCTCCAGGGTTAGCACTGCTGCACACTTTTCCAATTTGGTCAGTTTAGTGGACGACCAGGCTGTCGCAAGTACAGACCAGAAAGGTTTTCACTAAAAAATCAGACTGATCTGACCGTACACAAGGCAATCATATGAAATCAAAGTTTGTTTCCTTCAAGTCCAATTTCACATGATCAAATTCGGTCTGATGGGAGCCCCACAGTAATAGACAACTGTCCATGCGACTGGCCACCATGTAACAGAACTGGGCTTACATTACGGGCACATCGCTACCAACAACATGTACACTCCCGACCAATAAAAGGCGGATATTGCAACAGTGACCAAACCATACCGGCGATGAAGCGGGGATCCAATCATCTTGTCAAATTGGAGAGGCGCGCAGTGCAATTGACTTGGTTTGAATTGAATTTGGTGAAAATGAGACCACAGTTGAAGTGACTCATTTGGCCCCCCCACCAAAAAATATCAGGGCATGAGATTTTTAGTAGTCATGGAAATCCTGCAGTGTTTTCCAAAGGCTGTTATGATGAAATTCGTCAACACCTCAACTCTCTCTACATTTTCAATCGTAAATCAAATCATGACGTTTTTCCCTACTTAAATGTTATTTGCTGCCTTCAAAAATTAATGTGCCAATTTACTTCAATGACATATCCAAATTGCCTTGGCCGATAAACAGCAGTTTGTTTTGCGGTATTTCTGAATAAATTTCCAGAGGTTATCCTCTCAAGGATTTTTACAGGAGAAAGCTAAATTTTCAGCTGAAAGTTCTGAAATTTTGGCAGTGGCCAAAACGGGCTTCCAGAGCTACGGCTAGGTCTATTGTCTGCACATCTCCATGTACTTCCAATGGAGTGAAGACCTAGACCTAGCTCTGGACAACAGATTTGGATGCAGCTTTCATTTCAACAAGGATGACTTTACTGGATGTCTGACACCCTGACTGCCCTGAATTTGTCCACCACAGTCTTTTAGAGGATTCAACACTTTACATCCCAAGTCACTATTCGTTTGAAATTTGTTGACTTTTGTTGCAACTGAGGTGACACTCTTGTTAGTTAAACCAATGTACCAATGGACAAAGTAAATGAACAATAAACCATCAAAATCAGTCAAGTCATACAAATACAAAAACAACACAGCAAAATAATGTGCGTCTTTCATAGTTTCAAAGAAAACTTGAAACCAATGGCAGTTGTCAACTCAAGCAATTAGCACATAAGACAATGCTAGATGTGCAAGGCACCACTTTGCAACTGAGACTTTTTTCAGCAATTGCAACAAACTGAAAAGAAGAAAAACACATTCAAAGAAAGTAATTTGCAGCAACAGCAAATCTATGGCTTTGTTTTCTACCCAAAGAAGAAGAAAAATGAAATGTCAAAAACAGGTGCAACACCAAGTTGTGTGCTAGAGCAGGGTTAGGAAGGGGGAAAGATTAGCCAACGTGCCCCACCCCAACTTTTCACATTTTATCAGGAGGCATGTGTTGTCTTTTCATGTTTTATTGACCCACCTCAATGATAGAACGTTTCAAAAAAATAAGTAAATATATTCCCTATTCAGCTGTTCTTATTCTCCTTCCAGTTTGGTAACTGCCCGTTTAATAAATGCTGGCATGTGCCATGGCGTTTTGGCAATATCTACCACATGCTTCCATTTTTTTCCACATTGCACTCCAAAAAGAATGGGCTCTCCATGGCAACCTCTCACTGGAATATGGCAATGTGAATCACAAACAGTTTTTGCTAGTTTCGAAAAAAAAAACAAAAACAAAAAATACGGCACCTACTCGTCAGTTGGCTGCCTTTGCTGGGAAAGTTCGTAGGTCAAGAGTCATTCAGTGCAATGACCAAACCATTTGAGTCTCAATCAAGTCATTAAATTGTGCAATTGACAGCATTATATGCACTTAACGTATTCACCAACAATACAATACACTTTGTGTTTGTCTCTTGGGTTTTATTTTTCCAATATTCACAGGTCTCCGTCGGTGTCATAGCTGCATATCCATTCTACTCTTTCTCTTAGGAGTTAGTTCTCATATGGTTCACAAACTGTCTACAATTGGCCTGAAATAATCCATCTTTCATCTAAGTTTGTTCATAGGCCAGTATCACAGTAATGCTGTGTGGCATCTTTGTATTGCTATTATTGGCGCATCGATGAGTTATTACACCACTACACAATTACATTAAGAAGACCCATCCACATGCAACAAATGAATCACAGTGCATGAAAAGAAGAAACACACAAATAAGTCGGGTCTTCAAAAGGGAACTTGTGGTCTTTTTGCTTCACTTACTGTCGCTGCCCTCTTGGGAGAGTGACAGATTAAAGTTCCCATCCTCGTAGCTGTCGTAACTCGCTTCGGTCGGTACCCGAACCTGCAATGGGGCGGGCGTGCTGTGCTCCATTATCTGCGGGATGCTGACAGGTAAGCTGGAGACCTGGGGTAGGGACGGGGCGTCATCTTTCTTCAAGGAGGGCGAGGACCGGGGTGACTTGGGGGGCGTGGTTGCCATCACTGCATTCTGAAATGGATTTTGAAAAAGCCAAAAATGTAGGAAGTAAAACAGAAAATTGTATCCTGGTTATGAAAAATTAGTCTGTGTGTGCCATGTACGGTCAAGGGGGTTTCAAAACAACCCTAGCAAAAGAAGGCTACCAGCCAAAATGCCGCACACTGTATATTCCTTGTGACTGGTTCCCAGAAGAATTTGCCAAGCATGTGATAATGCTCAGCAACATTTCTCATTTAGGAGGTCCATGAGATAGGGCCTAGCTTATCACAAGGGCAACTGTGTGGACCTGTTCAAGTTCCTTCATGGCAGTGGCGGCCACCACAGACATGGGAGGCTCTTTGTCCGAGCTGGCAGTGTTTTGACGGGAGACGGATGGACTGCTTTTCTTCTTCACTCGTTCCTTCTCTTGCTGGATGAACTCGCTGAATCTACAAATCAACACAGGAGACACAAAGCACACATTAAACAGAAGCACAATGACGTTTGAATAGAAATCTGCAAGGTAACAATGAGCATGGCTTGACCCTGTACTGTAACTTGTACGCAGGACCTGCTAGAAACATGTCTAGGATCAACTAGAAAAATGACCGTGTATCATAGGTGCATGTGTACAAGGGTACAAGCACTGTCCTGGTGGGTTCTGAAATCGTACTGGTTACTGAGCCCATTCCTGGCTCGACCTTCCCATAATCTGATTAGCCTTTCTTTCCGGCATACAAATGTATACGGACTAATGTACAAAGCTGTCACTGCATTGGTACCAAGATCACACACAGGTTTGAGTGCACACGTCAATTGGATCTTCCACAGGGCATTCATGATGTTTCAAAATGCCTGTCTATTTCAAGTTATGAACAAATGCAACTTGGCATGAGTTTAGTGCCAACACAGTAATGACATCTCACTGGATTAGTCTGTGTGTCTAATGCAGTGCCAACATGCATGCTTAGGCATACATTTACAAGAACTGAACCGCTGTCAGAGGTCATCTGTCACAGGCTGACAGGACCACAGGGCACTGACTATTCTCTGGTTCTACATCCAAGAGACATTTTGGAGCTGTGCTCTAACTGAACAGCCAACCGGTCCCCACAAAAAACACGATCGTTCACCTTCAGTCTCTCTCCTCTTTACCTGCTATTCCAGCCAAAGGCTATCTGGCACAAGTTCTGCTTCAGGTTGACCAGGCTGTCCTCGATATCTAGCTGGATGTTGGTGATTTCGGCCGGATCCTGGTCGGCCGCTGCCATGAGGCCAGCAAGAGTGGTGATCTTGGCCTGCAAATCCTTGGCATTCTGCCAAAACTTGTTGTTGTCAGACTAGCAGGGAAAGTGAAGTGATTGGCAGAAAAACAACAGTATTTTAAAAAGTCTTAATCAAGTGAGCACAGTAATTTCTTCATTTTATTTAACATTTATGAGGAGAATTGAACTACTTCAACACCGTAAAATTCTGTTAATGATGTGGATTAGATTTATCCAGGCACTGCTGCAAGTTCAAAAGAGGAGCTCAATACACAACAATCTAAGAATTTAGCTGTCATTTTCTGGACCGAACTACAGACTAACCACAACTTTTTAACAAACTAACTCAACTAAGTGTACTTTCTTTGCTTTTGAGCTATATTGATCATATTTCTAATACCTCAAGGTGCACTTTTCTGGATTGAGTTTTTCAGTTCCCACGTGGGAAGAGGCTAGACATGGCATGAAACACAGAAAAGGGGGGTAGTATAGTCGCGCTAGCAGTGTTTCCCTGATGATTTTACACTTTTGCCGTGTCTTGAGTACTCCACAACCTGTTCTTCATGCGTATCAGTGTAAAGGCTATAACTGGATTGAGATCAGAGAGTGATTTCTGTTTTGAAACAAAAATGTCCGTTTTAATGTCAAAACTCACAGGCAAATTTTGTTCAGTCTATGTTTGACTGGAAAAGTGAACAACAACTTTGTACTAACAGTTCTACTGTTTCATGTAAAGTGCAAAATGTTTGAGGGGTTGAAATACTGCACATGTGATTACTTCCCCGATGCTCACTCGCACAAGCGCAACTGCTTTCGATTTGGCACTCACATGACTACTCTTACATGTGGACCTATTAACCACGTTACTTGGGAAAGTATCCCACAATGCAATATGAACACAAGGGCAGCATAGCTGAACGACTGGAAGGAAACTTGATACTGTTGTAAATAGTTCAGAAAAATCATTGCATGTAGAGGCAAACCGCCTCAAGTTAAGTAAGTTCAGTGAAATAAAAGAGGCCAGATATGTCTCTTTGGATGGCCACTAGAATTCACGACGCAAATTGAATCTCTGCATTGCCCTCCTGACACAGTTAGGGCACCACAAGTAACTCGAGATCACTCGTTTTTTGCTACAGATTGAATATGCCTGGCCAAAGCTTAAGGAAAATAAACTAATGCGCCCATAGAGAAATTTATAACCACTGGAGAACCACTGCTAATGTGACTGGCACCCCTTACTGTGTTCTGTGTCATATGCATCATGAGTTCACAGCAATTTGGAGAGTAATTATCCTTGACTTCACTGCCTGTGGACTTCAAGATTGTGACCTATCACTAGGGTGGCTCATCATTAGGGTATTACCTGATGCTGAGAGGTAAACTGTGCTTTCTTCTGCTCGAAGTACAGCTGTGCCTGGGGGTTGGCCCCATTCATTCCCATCAGCATATTGATCTTGCTCAGGATTTCCTTAAACAGCAAGGCACCCCTACAAACACAATTTTTAAATGCAGAATTTCTTATCCTAGCATAGAGTGCAGACCCACAGCCAAAAGGAGACTCAGAGAGGAAATCTGTATTTCAATTTCTTTCCAAAGGACTTACAAAAACTGCATGAAGCAAGTTCAAAATGTCATGGTAAGCCCCTTCAGTCAAGCATAGTATTTTAAATATGGCCCAAACCTATTAAATCAGACAAACTGGCTCCAAACACAATACTGTGTGTATTAAATGGTGATTTCTAACAAGTAGAACTATATGAACCCGATTCAGTACCAATCACTGTGTGCCTTCTTAAAGGAGGCGACATATACATCCCACTTGTTCAGATGCAAAGCTTAAAACTTTGTGGGCCATTTTCAATTAGTGCCTTTTTCCCCCACTTACTTGGAAGACACATTTTTGAATTCCTCAGCACATTCTGGATGAGACCTGAAGGCTTCTTGGATGCCGATGGGCAGAGGAGGGAGGCAGACTTCTCTCAGGAGGATGGGGCTGTATCTGCCATGGAAAGCAGAGGAAAGGACAACTTTTAAAGAAATTTATTACTAGGATGTGGCGGGGGTGGCTGGGTGTGGCTGGGTGTGGCTTGAAGGTTCCTCAGAGGCTGGGAGGCATGGGAAGTAGGCAGACTTCCAGGAAGGATGGGGGCTATATCTACCACGAAAGACACAGGCGATAAAGGGTTAACTACAAGACACACTTCCAAGTACTGGGAAGTGGCAGGTGTGGCTGGGTGTGGCTGGGCATGGCTGAGCATTGCTGGGTGTGGCCAGAGGGCTTCCTGCATGCTCAGACAGAAACCATTCCTCAGAAAAGACACGACAAAGGCCAGAGGGCTTTCTGGATAATGGGAGAGGAGGTCAGTTTGTAGACTTCCCTCCTATCATAAACACTAAATAGATAAAGCTTTTTGATTTCCTGCCCCTCTAACGTATAAAAAGGGTGATACTTCGAAAACTTACTTGAAGGAGGCCACGATATTGTGCTGTCCAAAGTACTGGTAGTGATGGCGGTGTAGGGAGTGGCCACATGGTAGAGCGCTAAGTCTCCGTCCGTAGTCCTTGCAGTGAAACCTCAGCTCCAGGTACTTGCCGAAGGACATGTGCCAGCTGTCCAGAGACATGGGCTGGACCGGGGTGACCTGAGACAGGACGGTGAGTGGAGCATCAATAGAAAAGAAAGTGAAGACTTGACATATGGCCAATGGAGGTCCTGTTGTTTCTTTGTTATATAATGGAGTTCTGGGTTCAGTTGGGTTGGGCTAATTTAGGTTGGGATTGGGGGGTTAGGCTTGGGCTGGATTTGAATTGGGTTGGGTTGGTTTAGAGTGGGATGGGATGGAAACACAGAATGGGAAGCCAGGCTCGACGGTATAACATGCTCTTCTGACAAGAACTACGTAGTAAAACATACTTGTTTGGCAGAAGCCTAGTACACATTTTCAAGTGAATGTGCACAAAATTTGAGTGTCTTCACATGCAAGGAAAGAAGCTGAACATGAATTCACAATAGCAATGATTCTCCAGTGTTGTTTAACAAAAGGACAGTTTTTTATATGCACAGATCCCTGGTCCCCCACAGATTAGCACTTCCGATAAAGGAGGAGACCTGGATTGGTTTCTTCACATCTAGCATGCGTTAAAGCAGGACCAATTTTCATCCACATGAGTACAAATCGTAAGTGTCTTCACATTGGGCACTGGGCACATAGCATACAGCGTAACATCTTTCTCTCCGCCACCATTGGCTGCGCACGGACTCCCTTCATGTGTATGCACCTACCTGTCTGCACTTGCGGCACCAGCTCCACATCAGGATCTTGTCAGTGAAGCCCGGGATGGGGCTCTCCAGATTGCGCAGCAGGATGTGGATGGAGGCATTCCCGTGGACAAATCGCCGGACATGGTCCACCATCTCCGCATCACACGGCTCATTGGGGCACTTGTACTTGGTACTGAATACAAGATATCACATTTTTATTTTTTTCCCCTTTTATTCCTTGTTTCAAATTCAAAATTGAATAAGTACAGGAAATGTCACGAACACTATCGGGCAAAACTGCCCTATTTATCCAGCCTTTAAGTGGTTTCACCCTTTACAATATGTAGAAACCAATTTCATGAATCTTGTATCCTTGCACCATTCTTCAGATTTATGTCAGAACTCTGTTGCATAGCAGTGTAACATACTTTATAACCATTTTGTTTTAAAAAAGCTACAGAGCTGCACAGCAACTGATTGGCCAAGAATAATCAAAAATGTTAAATGGCTCCGTCTTAAAGGAACCAGGAAATAGAAATATTTTGATAAATTTTACTAAAAACTCTTGAGACTGCATCTTTGGGTTTCAATTAACCTTATTTTAAATAATTTGTTTTGCGATTTTAACCCATATTTTGATGCTTTTTGGGTTTTGTGCTAATGCATATTTGCATATTCACGAGCAGAACTATAATGTCATCCAAGGCACTGAATCTCAATGTTGCACTGATTTGTGCACAGAAAATTTCTAAATTTTTTAACCACTGCTATGGCAGATTTCATTTTCTTTGGCAATTTATTGCTGTGTAAGTATATGGCAATAATCCAGCAAAAATCGTTTTCACAGAAATGTTCCCAGAATTTGTAGTTCACAATTTAAACATGAATACATGCAACCTGAACCATGTCTACCTGGATTTACATCAAAGCAAAAGCGCCCTCACTTGTCCAGAAATGCTTGGTCAATGTTTAATGTTTGAAAAAGTTCACTGTTCAGTTCACGTAACTCAAAAAAGACATCAAACAGTCTTCATACATGGAAGAAGAGTACAGAGATACACAAAAAGTGATTCTAAGAAAAATTCATTTCCTGGTTCCTGTAGCTATTTAATAACTATCATTGCATTAACTTTGCATATATTTTTACAACTGGAAGTGGACTGAAAACCTATCAGCTCTTTTACAGATATCCAAACATTTCATAAATGAGTTGTGCATTGCTTATGCAGAACTGACACAAATGAGTCAACAGTGTAGCATGACACCAAGCCAGAATAAATCAACAGTGCTCTGAGTGGATTCTGGTTTCCTTAGTGAGTTGTACCTGAAACAGTATCTCTCCAGAAACTCTCCGAGGGTGAGATCATGTCTGCTGCTGTAGAAGTCCATGGCAACGGTCCAGGGATCCACGCAGTGGTTGGGGGCATTGCTAGAGAGATGAGAGTAGCTGCAGAACTGTAGCAGCATCTTCTGATGGTTGTGGATGTCCAGGCAGTCAAATCGTCGCCGGTAGGCTGCCTCTGAACCTCTCTTGATGCCAGACTGGACTTCCACTGGTTGCTGCAGAGCTGGTTGAAGAGCTGGTGCGAGTTTCGGAATGATCCGTCCCCCCCGGGCACGGAAGTCGGCCAGGAGACCACGCGTTCTCTCGTCCTTGGCATCCTCTGTCAGCTGGGAGAAGGTGAATGGGTGCGGGGGCTTGACAATGACGGCATCCGATGTGCGGCTGCAGCGGTCGACATTGGCGTTAATTTGGTTGGCGTGTCTCATCGGGTCTACTTCCGCCACTGCAGTGTACAGGGTACTGTCTGCAGCATTCAAAACTTGTGTTGATTCCGCCAGTTGGCTCAGCTTCGGAGACAAGTAGAGTTCCTTTGATTTGAAGAAGCATCGCAGTGGGGACTCCTTGCCTGTTTTTGACTCCAAGTATGGCACACCGAATTTTACGAGGGGCGATATGGACAGCAGTACTTCATCCAGAGCTGCAGTGAAGGGGGACTTACTCTTTGCAGTGGGTGGAGGAGATGTGACGACAACATCCTCACGGCTTGTCACTGATGAGCTGTCTTCTGCGAAGAGCTTGTGCCCTCTCTCCTCCAAGAATTTGGACTCCATTTCTTTGGTCGTTGCCGCATGGTCAAAGCTGGGTGTGGGTCCATGTGACTGTTGGTTGGTATCCTTGATCACCTCCAAGCTTTCGTCCAGCAAATCAGATTGTACTGTAGACTCTGACAGTTCGGAGCAATTTGGGGATTCCACCTGCTCAAGGTTACTTGAAGTGATATTATCAAGCCCAGGTATTCTCATTTTGTCGAGGGCTGTTGTCTTTTTGATAGGTTCCTTGCCTTGGTCCTCTTCAAGGGATGTCTCTTCTTCCTGAACTTTCTCCTGAGCATCCTCCTCTGTTGCCTCCTTTGGTGTCTTGACAACTTCCAAGTTACCACCACGGTGGTTCTCCATCTCCTGTTCCACCTCCAAATGAGCATGGGACTTGACACTGGCCACTTTGGCCTGGATACGCTTTTTCATGGAGGACATGGTGGCACGGAATCCCACCTTCCCTCCATCCCACGCCTCCTTCGACTCGTTTTCCTCTGCCCACGCCTGTTCGCTGACAATGTCCACCTGGTCCTCCTCGGCTCCGTCAGCCAGCTGGCCCTGGACTGAGGCCAGGCCCTCGCTAATGCTGTCAGAGGTCCCCATTGTGGCAGAGATGGTGGAGTTGGATTCCGGGGAGATAATGGCCTTGGAGTCGGAATCCTGGGCCTGGGAAGGTGGCTTGGCAAACTCGTCCATCAAGAAGGATATTTCAAGACGGGAGTGGTAGCATGCGTAGATCATGAACTTCAAAACCTGTTTCACCTAAACAACAGCAATAAGTTTCCAGTGTACTTCATATAAAAATAGACATTTCTTCATTGTTTTGTCTACTGCAGGTTTCTTCAGGCTCGCAAGCTAGAGCACAATTTATGGCCAAACCTAATAGAATAAACTGCAGGTCACTAGAACTACAGGCCTTTAAAGGTACAGTTCATCATGTGTCAATTTATGCATTATGTTCCTTTAAGGCAACAAATTACCCAAAGTTACAGAACGGTGCCTCAGAACAAACCTGATGAAGTTTCAGCACAGTGAATACTGTGCATTCTAAACAAAACATAATATTCTAGGATTTCGATTTCAGACCAAATGTCGTTGAATCATAAATTGAACAGCACCTGAATTCAGCTATGGGGCACGTTCTCACGTTCAGTTGAATGCACCTTCATGATGTCACATACTGAACTGATAAATTGAAGTAACGCACATGTCCTGCTAATGCTTTTGCGCGCTGCTAATGGCAATTTTCCAAAAATCCATCTTTAGACGCATCGTTGGAAAAAATGACGTTCGTTCATTACTTTCTTGTGAATGCCAGCTTGCCAGAAAGAATCATTTCACAGGGTGTTTAGTCCTATAACCATCTTTAAACCAAGTATGGTTCTCAACAATAACATCATCAGAAACTTTTGGGATAATGGCCAAATAATGGACAGTACCTTTAAAACCTTGACCACAGAAATCAACTGCAATTGAAAATGTTTTCACCTACTTAATGCTTGCTATAAGCAGGCCTGAGGGAGTGTAATCTGAATACCTTAGTAAGCTGTTCATATTCTCCGCCTCTAAGGACCACCGAGCAACCCAAGTGGCTGGCACAACCCTCAAAGAACATCAGTGTCTTGGAGAAACCTGCACAACAAAGCACAGAAGACAAAAAGAATGCAGCAAAAGGATGCACTACTTTGGCCATTATCATGACCAGGCCAGTCCAAGTCATTTCTTAATTTTTCTCTATCTAATCTACATCGTAGTGCCTAACTCATATACGATGCCTTGTGTAAAAACAAAACAATGCAGACTGTACAAAAACTAACCTGTTCATTTTTCAATACATTTTTTCAAACACCAATTCCTACCTTTGGGCAGTTCATATTTCTGGAGGCGGAACATAAGGCAATGACCCATGGGGGTGGTCTGGTTGACGTGGTCAATGGATGGAATCAGACTGACCTCTGTGCAGCGACTCAAGCGATCCATGACAGACTGTCAAGGAAGAAAAAAAAAGAACTGAATATTACAAGCAACACAAAGCACACACTAACAAACATCGATGTAAGCGCAGCCATTTTCACTTTCATCACATTAACCAGCATTTCATAAATACCGCAGACAGTTTTTCTATTCCTATTGGTCGAACCACGTCACATGGCCAGGTATTAACATTTGATAATGCCCGCTGAGAAGTGATAATGCCTGTTGCGTAAATCACGTGCTGGCACATGGATACGAGACAGTTTAATCGGGTCTGATTGGTCAGGAGTCTGTGTGCACTCGACACGCCACACGCGCGCCAAGTTCACTGAAGGGGATTCTATTGGACAAATTACAAAATGAATATACCATAAAATGAATGGGGGTGTTGCGGGAAATGAAAGTACAGTTTTAGAGCAAAATGGTTGGAAATCCAACACATATTGACTTCTTTTGACTTTCTGAATAATAAGGTATTTAAGAATGGGAATAAATATGTGCTTGGCCAGTCTTAAACTGACATGTGAGACCTTGCTCAAGAGAATGAATGCTGATAATGCCCTTGCCTGCAGCTCAGACATTCAGCTGCATCCATTCTCCTGAGCGGGTCTTAAACGCAGGCTTAAGACAGCCAAGCAGATATTTATTCCCTTAGTATATCATGGATACATCATGCTGACCTACATTGCATGTGGAAGATAATATAAAAACCAACTTGAGTCACAAGTCACCGGAGTCACTTCTGAGTTTAAGGTTGTGCACTATCCAATTTTAGGAATGTTCCGACAGGTGAATTATGCTTGGATACATTGCCATTTCAAATCCGCCTCACGTCTGTATTTGTGCCAAGCGTGAACTGCTCCAACCATGAACTGTTATGCAGTACCATGAAATTCAGCTACAGCGCCAACCAGGATTTTTTTCTAGAAACTAGAAACTGTAGTTTACTGGATTTCCCTGTCCAACCATATAAATCAGCACTTTTCACTGAAGGTAATACTTTGACATCAAGATGTGGGTCTGCCAAGGCCACCAGCTTACCGACTTCACATTCAGAACCAATGTGATGCCGCTATGGAGAAGAAACATCTGAGCCAAGCGTGCCACGGTCTTCTCAACGATCAGAATATCCGGCTTCAATGAGGCAATTCTAGACACACAGTTCTTGAGGTACTCATGTTCCTTGAAAGCGCAAAAGGGTAGAATGCCAATGTTTACGACTACTGTCGGACTTTTGCTTATCTGTGCACATGACAGGTCCAATGCAAAAGCTAAAATAAAAGTTAACGAGCTTTAACATATCCACATGTTGCGCAGCATGTCATGTAACCTAGGTTCCTTCTTATGGTCTCCATGCTATATTAAGTGGTGCCAATTGAACAATTCAGAAAGCCAGTGAAAGACTCAATATGAGTGTGAATTAAGAGCTGCTACACTGTCACTTACCAATTGTAACTTGTACAGATTAGAATTATCTGCATATTAAATGATTACAGCTGTATTTGTGCAACTCTTTTCAAAGTGTTCTTTGAATGTAGTATTCATTATTTAGGGTACCTGTGGTTAAATCCTGGATTTTTTTTTAATCATGAATCATTCTATTCTGGCAAAGTTTTGAGTGTTAATTTTTGGGCCTTCAAAATACAGGTCTTCAAACACGGCATATGTGAAATTAATCCCCAAAAATGAAAAACATTCCTTTCATCCCAGGAGGAAGGAATGGCTCTGCCCTTCAATCACATCTCTGTTTTTGTTTGTAGATTCTCACTTGTAAAACAATGGGTTCAATGGACGAGAACTTGTTCTCCACCCGCTGATGTTCAATGGCCGACTGCAACAGGAGGATTCTGGGATTACTCAGGTGTCCAGACATCTGTAAACAAACAAGAGCGTTTTTAGAGTATGTTACTTCCCAGACGGAAGGATTTCTTTTCACAATATGCCGCATATATTGTCCTTCTGGTTGACAAGATGATCACAGGTCAGGCCCCGAGTTTGATCACACGTATCCGCCTTGAGCAGAAGCATTCCCTCATCGGCTGAAAAGAGCCATACTGGTCGGGAGTGTTCGCTTTGTTGGTAGCAACCGGCACACAACGCATGCATCTCATAGTCATTAGTGGACCAGCAAACTAAAGTTCCTACCAAAGGAGCCTCTGTAGCTAAGAAAATCGTGCTCTCTCTTGGTTCAGCTCGGGGCCCATAAAAATATCAAGGGTTGAACATTGACAAAGACAGGCTTTTGTTTAAAATAGAGCTTATGAACCAGTGTCTTGACTTGAACACGGATGAGTCATAAATGGCTTATATTGGCTTGCGATTGGCTATTGACTGACTTACCATTAAACTGACTTACTTCTGACTACAGATGTCATCAAGTGATGACTTGATAACAAGTCTGTAAGGTTGGAACCATGAGGCTCTTCCAACCTTGTCAATGGCCTACCTTTTTGTGGGCCACATTCTTGGTACAAATGGTTCCATTCACCATGAAGCAATCAGCACGAGTGCCGCCTGGTACTTTCTTGATGTGAACATACTGCCGAATATCCATATCATCCCCGTTCATCACGTCAGGCTTGACCTGCAAACAAAGAAACAAAAATCCCATTAGGATTTAATATTTTGAAAATGTAAATCATTTCTACCAACCTGTTACAATCAAAGCTTATTAACCCCAAACTCTTCAAAGTTGACTTTATCGTCAAAATAGTACTCAATCCCCAAGAATCTGAAACTTCTCCCTCATGCACAGATTCTCTTGGCTAGGGGAAAAAGATGGTCTCCTTCCACCTTGAGTCCAGCCCATCAAGGACCTATCCCCTTCCTACATGCAGCACCACAAACCTACCAATGCACAGATCCTCTTGGCTAGCGGCATAATGGTCTCCTTCCAGCTCAGGTCCAGCCCCTCGGACCTCAGCAGCTGCTCGGCCAGGCTGACCAGGGTCTTGGAGCTGGTGGAGCGCAGCGTGTCCAGGGTCTCCTTCTCGCCATTCTCCTGGCTGACGTTGTCCATGTCCAGCCAGCCATGGGCCAGGATGGGGCCGCGGGCATGGTCAGCCTGGTCAAGCCCAAAGGTGGACAGAGCTCCTGCAATAACAGAGTAATAAAGGGTGCACACATTAGTCTGTACAAATTTAATGAACACTAACAGCCCCTTCAACATGCTCAAACATCTACAACATATTCAATACGGGCGTTTCACAATAGTGTGCCTCCACGAGTTTGCAACGCATTGGCCAATCACACTGCACGAAACTTGTCGACCAATGCGCATTTCGAAAGGGTTGACAAATTTCGCACGTTGTGATTGGCCAACGCTTTGCAAACTCTTGAAGGTGAACTATTGTGAATCACCCATATTAAAATGTGCTACAAAATGACATTGTGAATGACTTTAGGAAAAAATATTGCCTTTAAACTAACACATCAATACATCAATGATAAAATAACAGTATTAACGAAAATACTTGAAAATTAAGGATATCAATGAAATTTCAACTTATCTCCAGTCCTTGCTGGACAATTTCTAAGGTGATTATGTTAATGACAGTTTCCAAAATTATGAGTTAAAAAGTGAGGTCGTGATCAGGAGAAACTTTAATGTTCGATCCGCATCTGCATTAAAACCATTTTTAGCATCTTGCTCAGTTTACTCTGTCTTTTTGTTTACTTTTTTTGGTGGGGGTTCTCTTTTGACTTTGCAACCAGCCAATGATCAGACTTTGCAACAAAACCATTTTCAGTGAGTGATATCTTGTACTAACATTTTGTAAATGTGAGAGTAGGTACATGTACTTAGAATCTGTTCATGACTATCTAGCCCTCATCAACTACCGGGAAATAATGAAGTAGACACCTTGATAAGTTGTTATCTTTAAATACTATCACCACATTGTCAATTGTGTCAAAAGTGCAGTTAACAAAGGAAAAAAATGCTAAACAAAACCCCTATCCAATAAAAGAAAAATGTAACCAAGAAAGCCATCGCATCATCTTTATGCAGTTAAGAATGGATATTCATGCAAAATCGACCCTACATGTATCTATCATTGATGCCACGGGCGGAAAAACTCCCAGTAAATTTCCTTCAAAGGGTTTTATTGACCGTAAAGACTTTCAAACTTTGTGGCATTCATTAAGATTCAACCTTTAACAAAAAGGTGGCCAAACCAAACACATTGAACTTATTGAAGTGCTATGAGCCAGATATGGAAAGAACTGCAGACACTCAACACACCTACATCGGAAAAAATTCACAAGGAATTTTCAGCATTTTGACTACCACACACCCATTTTCAAGAGTGCACTAAACAAAGGAGTTTCTTTCCATTGCACATTAAAAAAATAAGGACTGAAACAAATACCCTTCAGATTCAGCATGTAAGAACAAGCAACACACACTGAAATTTCAGAAGAATTACAATGTTCCTATGGATTTTTTAAAGATAATGGATAAGAGTCAGGCTCCCCTCCCAAAGGAAGTTGGAAGCACGTAGAGCCTAGAAAATGTTTAACTCATATTGATAAATAGCAACTGTAAAACCACTAAAGAAGTGGTTGTAGCCATTAAAAGACCACATTGTTTATCACAGGATTGCAGACTGCGGGAGAGGGCTTTTAGGAGAGATTGTGTGCATAGCTTGATTTTGTTTGGTTTCTTCTTGTGTCTTCCACATCACTAGTTAATAATAACTTCGATCCTATTTGAATTTTATGGCTGAATTTTTTTGAGAGGGTGGAAGAGAAGGGAAGCCATGAATCATGACGAAGACAGGAAATATTGGCCTAGAAATTACTGCCGCTGAATTCAGATTGATGTTCTATTTCGGGCAGTCATGAAGAATGATGCAAGTACGAGACATACATGTAGCCCTTGGCTGTACCATATGTCAGGCAGTCTCATCCTTGATAAAAAAGTTGTTTCGGAATAAAAAAACATTCTCAATGCACGAAGTCTCAGTTAAAGGAAGGGAAAAACAGTAACTTATTAATAAACAAAACCGTGGATGGGCAATCTCTGCAAATGGTGAGAATGGAATGTACTGAGGGGGTATGTTCTTCTCTGAGCTATGGCAAATCAAAAAATTCTGAACAGTCATCAACGTCAAAGAGGAATGACAAATAGTGCTTTTTAGATTTAAAGCTTTTACGGAGAAATCCTTCCTGATATGAGAGACTATCCGACAGTTTAATAGCTTTAATACAGAGGCAACATACAAGTCTATCTGTCACTTCTGAATTACATCTGGTTAAGGTGGAATAAACACGACTTTCACAGTCATTTGGCAGATGACTCTTACACCACGCCTGAGGTATGTAGGGATATGTTTACAAGTCCATCTTGACTGGACCAGTGTTCTGGGCTGATCAGCAAAGCATCATTGACTGTGTATAAAGTAACTCGGTGCATTTGATCACGTTAAGTGATTTAAGATATCTATATGGAGAGGCATCTTGGACATGAGGAGTTTTAAAGCGAGGTACACTGCATCTTGATTTACGGGAATTCTATTTCATGCATATCCTCACTTCTGCTGACATCTGGGAGAGTGGGGCAGGTGATGACTGGTTTCAGGATGTATGATCCTAGCCCAGACTTCTTTGCAACCCCGACGAGTGAAACACCCAAGTTTGATCCTGACAGCAGCTGCTCCTTGAATTCAGATGTGGCAGTTATTCTGTCTGTGATTCTGCTGGCTCTGCTATGTGCCTTGGGCCTGCTGGGTAATGTGTCTGTTCTCTTGGCCATCGCCACCACGCCGAAACTCCAGACGACCACCAGTGTGTACATCGCAAATCTTACCCTGCTGGACCTGCTGACTTGTCTCGTGCTGATCCCTGCCCACATGATCGGCACCCTCTGTGGCAGCTGGCCCCTTGGTGTGGCCACGTGCAGCATCGCTGGTCATATGATGTGGTACAATACCTGCCTGGCACTCTTCACGCTTGCCGTCATAGCGACCAGCCGTTACCTCCTGGTGGCCCGCCCAAGGGCTTCCTTTAGCCGGATGTGCAGTCGCAGGAATGTTCTTGTCAGTCTGGTGAGCCTCTGGACATCTGGGATTGTCATCTCCGTCCTCCCATTGCAGCTCCTGGCCGACAGAGACCTGGTGGCCATCTCCTTTTCCACAGAGTATGCCTCCTGCAGCGTGGTGGTGAGCATGGACACCTTAGCAACATCCCCTGTTGTGACCTTTGTGCTCAGCCTTCCCTTGATCCTCTTTGTCCTGGTTGGCTGCATCTGGATCCCACTGCAGTTCATCCTGACATTCTGCACCGTCAGGAGGAGCAAGCGGCGCATCCAGAACTTTGAGCTGACTGGCTGCAGACCACATCGGATGGGTATGACCAGAGAGGAGCTCCACCTAACCAAGATCCTACTCCTCATCTACGTCCTCTTCTTCCTTCACTGGATGCCCCTAATCTTGAACATCACTTTGATCACGGTCTTCTCAGTGCCATCTGAGAACATGCAGAAGCATGTCTTCACCTTGTACCTGGCTGGTTCGGCGGTTAACCCTTTCATATACGGCTGGTTAAATGACAACCTCCGCCATGCAATTAAAAGGCTGCTATCCAAGCACTGTTTCACTTGCAGGTGCAGAAGAAATCCCATTGAAGTTATAGCCTGAGTTCAGGCGCGGTACCTTCTAGTTCTTCCCTACCAAGATCTCCTTTTGATGAAGACAATGCATTCCTTGTGGACAATCTGGCCCTATACACTTGGCAACTTTGCTGATGTGATAAATTCCGAGTAAACATTAAGCAAGATTTGTGCAATATATGGAGAAGGTAAATGTGTTTTCACTTTTCATCACTAGAGCAAATTATTCATTAATCTACAGCCCAAACAAACTGGTGTACACTATTGTACAACAATAACGAAAACTGAAAAATGTAATTTTTTCACAAAGGGCTGATGTTGATATTGACATTATTATGGAATCTATAGCAATGCAAAATATCTTGCTAGAGTAGATCATATATCGTTTGATTGATATAACCTATAGTTGACAAAATTAGTGAATACACTCCTAGTATCATATGAAACTAGAACTAACCTTTCCTGAAAGTGCTAGTATGCAGCAAAAATTGAAAGCTTCCTGATTTGAATTCGAGTTATTCACTGGAACAATCTGGAAAACTCTGTGAATGATTCTTTTAATCAACACAGTTCTTTTGAGGGATATTCCATGAAAACTTCATCGGTTTCAAATTTATTTTTCAAGGAAAAATTATTATATTGGGCGCTGTTGTGAAGGCAGCGATGGTGGAAAGCAGCCAACATTAGCAGGCAGCAAGACTCTCTCATTACAGTGATTGCATGTGTGATTACTTTACATTTGCCCACATGTATGTGAGTTTTTATTCCACATTATACCCAAAGGAGGTTGTAAAGGTGTCAGTCTGTTGCTATAGCAACATACAGCTTTATTGGATCCTTGCAAAGTCCAAATGTCAAAAGAAATCTCTGCGATAGAGGGATATTTCCAGTAAATATACAACACTAGAGTTTAGGTCCTAAAATACCACCACCTTATGAAAGAACAGGATACATTGTGCAAATCCTTTCTAAGATGTCAGTCTGCTACTTGCAGAATTACTCTTTATTTATATGAATTTGAACTTTTTTCACAAGTACAATTTATAAAGATGATAAACTGTAGAGAAGTTTTCATTGAAGGTATAAATTATGAGTATGTACATGTAACGATAATATCAAATCTGAAGAATACTCTGGTCATTTATTCAAAGTAAAAAGCTTTGACATTTCACATGAGTATGAAAGTCAACACACACCCGTGAGTATGCTTCCCAAGTCTACATATTACATGTCTATTGAGTTTTCCATTTCGAAGCTGTTCGACCTCTCTGATTAATCACAGAGCTAGTATTTAATGTTCAAAGTACTCATTTTAAACTCAAATTTAACAAACTGCTGTGAGGACTCAAAGGCTGTTCACTTGAAATGAGTGAATTGAGTGGGAGAGAATGAATGAAAAATGAAGAACTCTTGCCATCTATAACGTAATTTAAATATTAAATTGAAGGGAATTTCGGTATCCTGGGCTTTCGATTGTTGAGCT